GCACACAGTTATCACGACTCCATGAGTCCGTGATCCCGCCGTACCTCTCGTCTCTTAACAATTTCATACCTTGTTACACTCCCCAACTCACAGGATACCTCGGTATTCATTTACAGGTGGAAATCAGATTCCTGAGACAACAATTATGGCAAGAAAAATTGACAACTCGCGGGAAAAAACAACGGAAACTGGGAGAGTTGACGGAAAGAGTGCGCCGCCTTTATTTGCCGCTTCACTCGCACGCGTGTGTGTGTGTGTGTCCACAACTTTACACTTTACAAGATTAATATCATAGATTAAGTATATACATATGTTTTTATAATTTTCGCCTATTGGCATATGAATGACAATTACAAACAAACACGACCATCTGTTGGTCGTCTAAACACCCTGTTTTTTTAGCCCACCTCTTGAATTTATGATTTTTTTTTTCCTTAACTTTGTCAGCCGTCGCATGATTCATGTGTAACGGTCTCCTTGCATTCTTGGAGCCAGTGGGTTTGGTCTTGAATATACGAGGGAATATTTATCAATCAAATGGTTCACTTTACTAGCTATAGTATTCAGGGTAGAATCTGTGTTCTTGTTTCTCAGTGAGCCAGATTAGACTTCCTTAGTCCTGAAGTACATGTTAAATTAAGGCAGCTTGTTAGTCACTGGATGCACAATATCCTTCGCTACGTTAAATGATGTTTTCATATGTCTGGTGGATGAACAAAGGAATGAACACTCAGAACACCGAGCGAGTCACGGGTGCTAGCTGTCGACAACATAAGGAAACCAAACGAATTTGTGCCCGGATGTGGCGGTTTAACCAAACGTTCGCTTATCAAATGAGTATTTTTTAATGTTTGTATTAAACACAAGATAATGAAAGGATGTCATTCAGTGAGAACCTCTACATTGCCTTATAAGGTTTCTTGGTATAGTAAACTTATGAATCAGAAACAGCTGTAAACAATGACGCACATCCTGACCTTTATTTAAGATGCTGTATATTGTCCAGTCCTCTCTCCTTCCCCTTGAATCATATCCTCAGTTCGGTCACATATTGTCACAATTGATAACGCTGGTTTATGAAGAGGGTTCTAGCCTATCTAAGGTACGAAACGGAGGCCTCAAATTGCTTTCTTCATAGAAAGTAATTATGACTGACTAAACTGATCCTGTTTCCATTGTGACCACCACGACATAACCTCATGACCACAGGATCACGACAATGTTTATCAAGAGAAGGATGTTATAAAAAAAACCTGTCAGTCATGGCGTAGATCCTGAGGGGGGTGTACATCCCTCCCCCACCCCCTAAACCATGTCAGGCGAAGAGTCAACTCGTTCTTAGACTAACTCGCTCCCTACCAGGTGACAGGAGTTATAACCTCATAAAGGGTTACCACCACTAACACCAGACTATAAGGGGGAGGGGGTGTAAGTTAGGGTAGGTGATCACAACTACTGGGTCTGATGCACATTCACTTCGAAGGTCAAGGTTTACGACACAGGGTTAACACACTTCCCTGTTTGTTATATTTATCAGAAATTTGGGCCAGGCCGTATACGTGAGAGACGTCGAAGGGTGTCAGACTCCTGTGTAATAGAGTTTATTTAGTTGTGATTTTACCATGGATGATGTCCTGGTGGAGGAAAGGTAAGGGGTAGATATGAGGCTCCTGCAAGGTGGGCTAGAAATGGCTAGGGGGTGGCAAGAAGGTTACTATTAGGTGAGGTAGGGGCTAGGGGGGTGGCTAGAAGATTACTATTAGGTGAGGTAGGGGCGAGGGGGTGGCTAGAAGGTTACTATTAGGTGAGTGTGGCTAGCTATTAGGTGAGGTAGGTAGGGGGTGGCTGAAGATTACTATTAGGTGAGGTAGGGGCTGATTACTATGGGTGACTGGTGGCTAGGGTTACTATTAGGTGAGGTAGGGCGAGAGAAGGTTACTATTAGGTGAGAGCTGAGGGGGGGTGAGCCTAGAAGGTTAGGCTAGGGGTTAGAAGGTTACTATTAGGTGAGGTAGGGGCTGAGGGGTGGCTAGAAGGTTACTATTAGGTGAGGTAGGGGCTGGGGTGCTAGAAGGTTACTATGGGTGAGGTGGGAGGGCTAGGGTTACTATTAGGTGAGGTTATTACTATTAGGTGAGGTAGGGGCCGGGGGTGGCTAGAAGGTTACTATTAGGGAGGGAGTGTAGGGGGGTGGCTAGAAGGGTGAGGTACTATTACTACAGAAGGTTACTATTAGGGGTGAGGTGAGCTAGGGGGGTGGCTGAGAAGGTTACTATTAGGTGAGGTGGGGGCTGGGGGTGGCTAGAAGGTTAGGTAGGGGAGGGGGTGGCTAGGGGGGTGGCTAGGGCTGAATTGGGTGAGGTAGGGGCTAGCTAGGGTGGCTGAAAAGGTTACTGGGGGTAGGGGCAGGGGTGGCTGGGTTACTATTAGTTAGGGGTAGGGGTGGCTAGAAGGTTACTATTAGGTGAGGTAGGGGTAGGGGCCTATTAGGTGAGGGGGTGGGGGGTGGCTAGAAGGTTACAGGTGAGGTGGGGGGTGGCTAGTTACTATTAGGCTAGAAGGTTACTATTAGGTGAGGTAGGGGCGAGGGGTGGCTAGAAGGTTACTATTAGGTGAGGTAGGGGAGGGTGGCTAGGGTTATAATAGGCTGGGGGTGAAGGTTACTATTAGGTGAGGTAGGGCTAGGGGTGGCTACAGAAGGTTACTAGGGTGCTAGAAGGTTACTGTGGGTGGTAGGGGCCTGAAGGTTACTATTAGGTGAGGTAGAGGGGTGGCTAGATGGTGTGAAAGTGGGTGATGTAGGGGCGAGGGGGTGGCTAGAAGATTTGGGTGAGGTAGGGGCGAGGGGTTGGCAAGAAGACGTATACCAGGTGAGGTGGAGGCAAGAGAGAGTGTGCGGGTTCGTTTGTGTTCTTATCTCGCCTGTTTCCCGTCACGATATATTCACTGCCTATGTGTTTAAGTCTTTAGTGTTAACTAGTACCAGTATTCTGTATCTCTTTTCCTCGATAATGTCGCTGTAGCTCTGTCGTTATAAGCATTACGGGAAAGCATTATTTCGTCCATCAGAAACTGTGGGAACTCTGGTTAATTAGTATTGTATATGTTAGGGAGAGTTAATTTAACCTGATATATTTTTGTACAGGAAATAAGACATTTAACATATGATTATAATTTATCATATTAAGAACTTAAAAATGCAGGAAACTGTAGCTGGCAGCCCTGTTTACAACTAACTCCTATCGTTCATATATCCGACCAACCTATTATCTGAAGCTACCCAGTGTGATGGCGTTGATGATGAAGTCCGGTAACCTGTGCCGCCGCGCATTCACTATATTTCTAAACCAGTGTTTACCTATCCCATGACTAAATATATATCTGTCTAATTTAAAACCATTGCTATGAGTCTGCTCCTGGTTGGATAGTTTGAGTACCTTTGTTATATCATTTTTTTTTTTTAGCCCTGACTTCCATTTATACACCTCGATCATACCGCCCCTCACTCACGTCTCTCGAGGGAGTGCAGATTAAGATGGTTTAATCTGTCTCTGTACTCAAGGTTCCTAATGCCCGGGATTACTCTTGTCATCCTCCTCTGAATGCTTTCATAAATCTTTCTCACTAATGTTTTCTCAGAGTTCTAGGTAAAATTACTGTCTTCTGAATCATCACAAAATATATTGGGCGGAGAAGTACAAAGGCCATGATACACAGGCCTCAACAGTATGTATCAATAAAACCTAAATTCCTTAACTCTGGGGTCAATTAGGTACTTACAATATGTCACTTAATGGCCGAGGTGGGTTGACGTTTTTTTGGACTGGTTATTGAGAAGTGTTATATCTATAATTCCATAACCAGTAACAGATAAAAGATATTTTTATATATAAAGTTTTGTTCTTAACAGTTCCCATAACATGAGGTTGACTGTGACCATCACTCAGTGACCCTAGGAACCCCCCCCCCCCTCTCACCTCGGCACTGGGGATCAGTAAGCAGGTACTTTTATTTTGCCTTTGACAATTCCTCTTTGAATGGGAATTGCGATGGCATTGGCAAGGAGATTAGCAACAACTAGCGGCTGGGTCTGGTTGGTCGACTCAAGTCAAACCGTCCGTCATGATGTCGAGATGACAGACAAACTGTGTATACCTAGTGTTCGGTCTTTGGGATATTATAATCGTAAATATTATTTACATTTATTCCTATGGAAATTGTTGACAGTAATGAGCGTGGGTAAAAAATCTGCTACAATGGGTTCATGTACGCCAAGCAGGTCACTCACACCACCAAGTTGAGGTGGAAATGTGAGAACAGATCCAGAGGTCGCTGTCGGGGCAGTGTGATGACACATTTTGTTTAAAGTATTTAATAAGATATTTTATATATATATTACTATAATGTCATGATTTATTGTGTTGTCAATCTGTGGAAGTCAAGTATAAGTTAACAACATTTCAAGTGCATCGTTTGTGATTATGTTCAGAAGCGCATTTCTACAAGTCTCTCAAGTTCCCCCCCTATCACAACCGATCTACGCCAATGGTGTGAGTCTACCAATATTTATTACCAACACCTTTGTTCTGTGGAAGACGTTCAGTCCTTCTTGTTTACTATTTATTTCCACTCCACATGGATTAGTGAAATATACAAAACTAGAAGATGATACTTTTTGACGTACTGACACCAGAGAGTTGATGGACAAGGTAAACAATATTAGGTAATCCTTGGGTGGTCGAGCAGAGTGTTCCGTGACCTGTAGTGCTTTTATCACCCCTGTCTATAAGAAATTTCCTTCTTACGGTAATACGGTTCATTTAAATCAAAAGTGACTATTAACATCGACGATAAAAAAAATGACTATTATGTGTAACAATGACAAATGACTATAATGATATATATCGAGTTCATTTTCCACATCTGGGAGCAGGTTGTACGACTTGTGGCAGCTGAAGGAACCAGAGGAAGCACACCATGGTTTTATCGGCAGTATACGAGCTGTGGCCGTGCTGGTGAGACGTTTCTGGAGTCCTCGGGAGTTTTACTGCTGTCACGAACTACTGGGACACTCTACTGCTGTCACGGAGTACCGGGACACTCTACTGTTGCTACGGGTACTGGTAACTAATCGAATATCATGCAGATAAAGTATGACATTTAAAATAACGTATGAGAGTGATGTTAAATTATCACAGTGAAGATAGAGAATGACCGTGAAGGTAGAGTACAACAGTAAAGTAAAAGTATGACAGTGAAGCTAAAGTATAACAGTAAGGATAACGTATGACAGTGAAGATAAAGTATACAGTAAAAGTATCATATGACAGTGACGATAAGTTGCAATAATAATAATAAGTACTTCAGTCAACCATTATTAACTTCACCTAATGTTTAACACAAACTATTATTCACCAGAACGTAATATATGTTCATCCATAATTAATATGCATTTATTTTTTTAGTAACTTTAAGCTCCGGAAGTTTTTAAATCAACTTTATATATGTATATATATATATATATATATATATATATATATATATATATATATATATATATATATATATATATATATATATATATATATATATATATATATATATATATATATATATATATATATATTAATTCAGGTATAAGGACTTCTAATTGTCGACATGACAAGACCCACAGTGGAAGTGTTCTTTTTATTTTACTTTTTCATTTTTCCTCTTCACCACTGATCGGCTCGTTAGCCGTTTGGGCGATCGGTCACGTCTCTGTTACGTACTGTTGGCAAGTACTGGGCATGCACCGGCTCCTGAATGTACCTGAACCTGCTCCAGTGTTAATCAAGTCTGGTCTTGAAAGAGCTCACACTCGGTGCCGTCACAGTACTTTTTGGTAGATTGTTCCAAGAGTTCACAACTCTCACTCCGAAAAAGTTTGCCCTCCAAGTAAGGACACTCGACTGAGTAGTGCCCCTTGAGATGCTTATACACCTCAATTAGGTCGCCCCTTGCCCGTCTGTAGTATAACCTAGGCAAGTTCAGGCGCTCCAATCTCTCAGGGTAGTTGAGGTGCCGAAGTGCAGGCACCAGTCTGGTGGCCCTCCTTTGAACATTTTCAACCAACTGAAGTCCCTAGCATATTCAACTATACTTACGTTATTTGTTAAGTTAAACAAAATCAGCCGTAAGTAAAAGACTCGTTAAGTGTTCACTTTTTACCGTCGATTTATCATCAAGGCAAAAAAAAGATGCCTCAGTGGTTGAGGCGGCTCTGACCTACCGGACCACCACTGCCGCGGACTGTGTGCGCCCGGCAGAGAGTTCAGGTGTTGGCGCAGGATGAGGTGGGCACCAAACAGCTCCCAGCCAGGTAAACCACACAGACGTCTGGGTTCTCGAGTCCGTCGTGTGGAGCGAACCTGCCTACCTGCACCGTGGAGACAAGTCCCCGCCTAGCCTTTTACGATTCACTTGATTAATGGAACATTTGGAACATTGCTGTTCTCAATTTTAGTGAAGTTTATGTGTGTTGTACTTGCCGTTTTTAACTTGTCATTTTAGTGTTTTAAATTAATAAAGTGCCCTGTACAAGGAAACTAGTTCTTTCCTGTCATAACACCAGATAACATTCTATTTGTGTAGGATAATGAAAAACAATTCTGAGAAAACAAGATAAGTTACATCCTCTTTCGTGGAGTGGGATAATTTAGTTAAACCAACCCGCGAAATCAGGCTTTTTACATTTACTCACTTCGCCACTATTCAGCCTATTATTTGCTTGGGCGGTCGGTCGTGTCTCTGTTACGCGCTGTTGGCAGGTACTGGGCATGCATTGGCTCCTGAATGTATCTGTACCTGCGCCAGTGTTGGTCAAGTCTAGTCTTGATTGAGCTAATACTCTCTGGCAGGTTGTTCCAATAGTTCACAACTCTCACTCCAAAAAGTTCGCCCTGATAATTTTCTGAACTTATGGCTTCTTCGACGTAATCTATGACTCTAGTGGGGTGGGCATCCGCCAGTTCCAGCTATGAACACCCGAGTAAGTAATGTCCTCTGGGGTGTTTATAGATTTGTATAGTCACCCCTTCCCGCCTCATGCATAAGCTAAGCAATTACAGACTCTCTACTGTAATCTCTCTGGATAACCGAGGCTCCATTAGTGCTGGCACTAGTCTGGTGGCCCTCTGGCAATTTTCAATCAACTGAGTCTTTAGCATATCTCCAGCACCAGACGGGGTGATAGTACTCCAAACGAGGAAGCACCGCACTCTTGAAGAGCGACCTTCTTGTATGACCCACTAGCTTACTCGGTTGATTCACCTTCTTCTCACAATGCTCTGAGAACTTTAATTCATTGTCAACATACAGTGTTTGTTGGGTTCTGTCATCAATAAGGTTATATATTTTGCCCCGGCAGGACTCCTGCAGAGAAACAGACATTTCAGGGCAATAGCTAAGTTTAGCAACGTCTGCTTGATAAAATTATTTCGCAAAAGATTTTTTCGATATTGAATAAATTTTCATCAATTAAGAATGCTTTGATTTTCGCAATTCTATTTAGTATTCTTTTTAATAATCCCAACAGTAAATAAAGTTTCATTTACGAATATTTTGAATTCTCGAATTTTACTAAAAAAAATATCAGTAGTAAATAATGCTTCATCATTTGGGAATGATTTTATTTTCTACAATTAAAATTTTCATTAATATTTTTAAGTTATTTTTTTTTTTCTGTAGGAAAAAAAATCGATCTATAAACCTGAGATGTGCGTGTGTTATAGAGTCAGGGCGGTAGGAGGCAAGAGTCTACAGCCCAGCAGTGTGTGAGCCAACCTCCTGATGGCAACAGTGACGGAGGAGGGCTTGGACAGGGCCCATCAGGTGGTCTATCGTTGGATCCTGCCCATCGTCATCTGTCTGGGTGTGCTGTCCAATGGTCTTTGTATTTTCATCTTAAGTAGACCCAGCCTTAGGTCCGCTCGTGTTAACAGGTGAGCTAAACGTCTGTGTGTGTGTGTGTGTGTGTGTGTGTAATAATAATAATAATTAACGGTTTATTGAAAGAGCTTGGCAGCCAGAAGGCTGAAAATTTACAGTTACATATTTGGGGAATGAGTTACGAATTACAAATAATATACAAGTAACATAAGTGACACAAATAAGACATATAATAACTTAGATGGGGATCAGCTCAAACTACAGTTCATTTCAACATAGTGACAGTGTAAGGAGCAGTGTGTGTGTGTGTGTGTGTGTGTGTGTGTGTGTGTGTGTGTGTGATACCATCTTCAGTTACACTCATTACTGTATCCTCCTTCACAGGTACTTCCTCATGTTGGCGGTGTCTGACCTACTGGTGTGTCTCTTCTATATCCCCGTCTGCACCACCGTCACTGGCTGCACCTTCTCTAGCTATGCTGAAGCTTTCTACTTCTCCCATTTTGGGTGGACACTTGTGGGCATCACTCAAGCCATGGGCACCTACACCATCCTGTGGCTCTCCCTCGACCGCTTCATCGCTGTGTGGTGGTACAGCCTCTACCCGATTATCCAAAAGAAACCAAATTTATTCCGAAACAGGATGGTTGTCACAATTACCCTCTGCATCGTCACCCATCTGACCTACATATTTACCGCCACCGTCGATTGCTCCATTCCAGACGAGGCGGATGGCCTGTGCACGGAAGGGACTTGGATTGTTAAGAATGGGTATCGGAACAATTTTGAAAAAACATGGCACAAAGTTTACCGGAGTTTGTTTGGTCTGTTCATCAGGTGGGTGCCGTGTTGCCTCCTGCTGTTGTTCAACATGGGGCTGGTAATTGGGGTGATACGAGGCCGCGTCAATTTTCCTGCTACTGGTAATGGATCTGGGAGGAGCGGGGAGAGGACCCTTGTCATCACTATGATCGCCATCACCGCCTCCTACATCTTGCTCACCCTCCCCATCACCGTCTACATCATGGCCTATGCCACAGACGTCGTCAACCGTTGTTCTGGGGAACACCCCAAGGAGGTCCTTGGTGCTGTGGGTAATTGCCTTCAGTTGTTTGAGCACGTGATATACATAGTGTTCCTGGTGGGTCTAAACAAAGGCTTCAGGAAGGAGCTCAAGATTTTGCTGCATTTGGAGGAGAATATAAACCAAAAAGATCCTGGCGGAGTCGAGCTTGGTGTTTCTTACTCACGCTCAGGGGGGCATGGGGAGTGTCACAAGAATCACCAGAACAGTTGCTCTCTCTCATCAGCCATACCCAACAGCATGACGGAGGATTCATAACATATTTTACTGTGTCTGTTATAGTGTGTTACTGTGTCTGTTATAGTGTTACTGTTTCTGTTATAGTGTTACTGTTTCTGTTATGGAATCTGTTACGGGGTCTGTTACAGTCTTTTACAGCATCGTACGGTGAAAAACCACCAGGCAAAAAAAATTAGTTTAGTCATGATACGACATGACACATTTAAACAAGTTCTGGCAAACTTTAAACTGATCAGTAAATTTTGTAAGTCATGACTTATAATCATTAATATGGTAATACGAATAGTTCTTTGCGTGGGTGTTGATGGTGCCTTTGCTGTCCTGTACTAGATGTTAGAACCATAAGCCAGGCTTCGCCAACACCATCCTGGCCGATGAGATTGCTGATGTTAGCGAAACTGTGTAACTGTCTCTATGTCTACACTAGGTCAAGCGGTTGTACACCCCACCTAAGGTACAGTACATTACCCACCCGGACTGGGTACACACACATTTGTCGATTTTTGGATCTGTTTGTCACACCCCCGCGGCGGCATGTGTCTGCCACACCGAGATGAGGTGGGGTGGGCGGGTTCCTTGTTCAGTACTGTACCACTGGTGGCCTGCTAATTTTTTCACCTCCATGTGTTAGGTCAGACGGTTGTGTGTACTTGGGGTGCATTAATGACCCAGGGTACACTCACAAAATGGAGGGTGACCCGAGACGCCCTCACATCCTAACCCAGTATCTACCCGTTCGTTGCTTAGTGGTGATGAAAATTATAGTAATAATTTTATAGCTTACAAAATAAGATCATAAACAAGCATATACTATTTTATTTTCCGTTTCGTCTATTGTCTTAATAATAACAATATTACAAATGCAATTTCCACTTGACAGACCAAAACACCCCGGAGGAGGTTGAATTTTCCAAGTGATTTACACATGACATTCTATGAACGGTTGCTGTGGGCTGCTACCCCTGCTTAATGTACAGTAAAAGTAACCACTGATGTTAAAGAAAAAAGTGAGACAAAGGAACGCCAAATATACGTGTGCACTCAAGGACACATTTTTTTTTTCCAGGGATTAGCCTACCCGGGCACAGGTCACTTACCCACTTCGGGGCCTGGGGGGCGAAAATGTAATAATAATAAAATTAATCCATAATATTGTTTACAGAAAAATACAAAATTAAAATGAAAATAAAATAAAAACATTACTAATAATAATAAATATAATAAAAATAATAAAGAACCATAAAGAAATACAAAAAAAGAACAAAACATCAAGAGTGAAAAACGATATATGTATGTTGTGTTGTCAAAGTGAAAGAAACAATTGAGACCCTGCAGTTGTATGTAAATGAGGCAGAAAGTCAAATCAGCAACCTGGGACTTGGTCACTTTTTTACTTTTACTTTTATCCTCTTCACCACTGATCGGCTCGTTAGCCGCTTGGGTGATTGGTCACGTCTCTGTCAAGCAAAATTTTTGTGATGCCATGTGGCAGCAGGGTCTACCATTAGACAACACATTATGCTTCCAATATCTTCCCAGGCGGTAGTACCTCCCTGTGTGATAGCTGCCTACTACCTACTGTAGCGACCTGTGGTATAATGGTCAGCATCTTCGCCCCGAGGACACCACCCCCGACTCCCCATCCCCCACCGGCATGCCGGCACCTGGGGCCCATCCAACCGAGTTCTCCTCGTCGATGGACCACCACGAGGACATGCACGTGGACTATGTACCTATGCCAAGAAGGACGTCCCCTACCAACCTCTCGACGTCCCCCTTGAAGCCGACACTACCGACGTAACACGCCATCACAAACACACTAAATGGTATGTCCCTCAATATTGTCAATGCCCATGTGCCACCCCTCCACCTCTACTGTACCTGTCCTACCACAACATATCACCTCCACCCCCACCCTCCTTGTGAGGGACCTCAATGCCCGACACCCCAGTCTTTGCTCCCAGGGGCCCTAACCAAACTCCCGGGGTAACTCCTGACTTTCTTACCTACAAACCACTGATGACTCTGTTACTAACACCTCTTCCTTCCTTGACCAGATAACCCTCCTCCTAGAGACAGACCTGGCACTTGACATTATTAGGGACCTGTCACGCTTTGCCATAAACAGATGAATTGTACCGGGAATTTCCCACACACCATCATTCTGTCACTTTATGTAACTTGCTGACAAAACCCATGACCCTTCAGGCTTTTACGCCCTTAATGCACGAGTCATGAAGGCAAGCATGAACTACGCATGCTTCCCAGATGGGCGCTGTAAACGCTTTTGCGCTTCACCTTGCACAGGATGACAAGGGGGTGCCCAATAAACTAGCCCCCTCTGGGGCAAATCTGAAAAAAAAAACACTTCTACACCTTAAACAAACTTACGCCTAGGTGGCCCTTGGGCAGGCCATCCTCGATTTCGAGGGGCTTCCATTATTATTATTTACTACCTACTGTACATAGCGCAATGTATCTAATTAAGAATATGTACAAAAGATTCATTATTGTTTACTGTATTACTGAGCATGTATTTAATTGAATTAATGTTTATATATGCAAAATCAACAATATAATTAATAAATAATGTGTAGAATATTAAAACACACAAGAGGAGACGAGACGGCATTGTTTTCGTTTGTGTTTACACCCGTGACGATGGTTCTACTTAAACTTTATCTTCTCCACTGATAGGCTCGTTAGCCGCTTGGGCCGTTAGCCGCTGAAGAAAATAAGACCCTGGTTGTAGCTGTAGCAAAATTAATGTAAAAAAAAATATGTATGTTTTAAGTAATGTTATTTAATGTTAATAAATATAACAATAGAAGTAGCTAACCACTAATGGTAAAGAATAAAGGCGAGACGGATTGAGAACACCAACGTATGTAACTGCGTACATGTGAAAACACATCGTCATTTCTCTACATAAGAATATGAAAGCAACACTTATTACAGTTCATATATGTTTTAAATAATACTTACGAATGTAAAACAAAAATTCTACTCACCAATGGTGGTAAAGTCTAAAACATAAGGACAGCCAATGTTGTGTGAGTTTTTACTCAGATGACGAAGCTGTATGTTCAACTCTGGCTGAAGCTGTAGGTTCAACTCTGGCTGAAGCTGTAGGTTCAACTCTGGCTGAAGCTGTAGGTTCAACACTGGCTGAAGCTGTAGGTTCAACTCTGGCTGAAGCTGTAGGTTCAACACTGGCTGAAGCTGTAACTTTCCATAAAGATATCATAGCTGTTGCTGAAACTGTTACTGAACCTGAAGTTGTTAGGCCTTCGAATAATAAAGCAGTCGAAAGAACCTTGTACAGCTGCTTTCTTTTCTCATTATACATCTTTATGTAGAGGTCATATGCGTTTTTCACGTCCCTGTTAATTTTAATGCTTCGTTCTGTTAATGATCCACTTCAGAAAATATGTTCATTGCTTGCTCCATATAATATCCACAGACCTCTCACCTTTTCATGTCGCTTTAACACATTTACGTAGTTTCTCGGCTAAGCTTACACATGTTGCTTATGTTGAATAGGGACGCAAAAATGCCGTAAGAAACCTAAAAGGTTTTCTTTTCCTGTTCAGATGCGTGAAAACAAAAGGCCCACCAGTTACGACTGTTTGTACTCGTGAATTGCCTGCCGGGCGCCGAGTCACTACTAACAAGCCCAACAACCTTCGTGCGCAAGGCGTTATTTATTTATTTATTTTTTTGTATGTTACATATCAGAATTTAATTATTATTTATATGGTAATGTAATTTTATTTTAATTTTGATTAAATTTTCGTTGTAAATACGGAGGCTTTCCTGTATATTATTATTAGTAGTATTGTTATTGTTAAAAATTTAATTAAAGTGATACTCGGTTGGTCTCTTTAATACTACGGTAACACCTTTAAACATATCCAAAGTCATTTAAGTCCAGCATATAATCTCATTCAAAGTCATTCAAGTCCCCCATTGAATCGATGATGATGGTGATAATGAAGTAAAGTGGCAAATGACTTTTCCATGAGTGAGGAGAAGAAACTGTTAAATTGCACCCATTTTGTCTGTTGTTGCGATAAAATAAAACACAAATTTTACATGGGAGGACATCTTTGCGTGTTTATTTTGGTTTAAGATGTAGCAATTATTTTACTTTAGTATGCTTTATTTTATTTTTATCCTCTTCGTCACTGATTGGCCTGTTAGCCACTTCGGAGGTCAATCACGTCTCTATAAGGCACTGTGGTCATGTACTAGTTCTGTTATGCACTGTGGGCCTGTACTGGCTCTGTTGGCAAATTAGTAGCTAACTGGCTAGACAACGAACCAGTAAGAAGAGCAAGAGAAGAACACGCTTGGTTCAGATTAAGCAGAATAAGAGTCAACAATCCACCACCAATACCAAAATACATGTAAAAATTATCAAATTTAATACAAAAACAAAAAGAACTGCATAGCCAATAAATACTGTACCTTCAAGTCAAGCTTCAGTCTTTAAATTAAACCAAAAAGAGAGGACCACCTCCTTGTGAACAAAAGTAGCATGTTGGATCCTACACCTATTCTTAGAAATTAAACCTCCCTACTACAAACAAAAAGCTTCAATTCTCTAAAACAGAAAAATGTTTCATTAAAAAGATGAGTGACCAAAGGACACTATTCCCGGCCTCTCCTACACTTGTCTTCTTGCCCCTTCCTTCCACTCTTATTAAAACAAAAGATACGTTGTTCAACCAGCTCCACAAGAAGCTGGCTAGAGGTCGTCACCCTGTGGGGTACGGGTTCTTTGGTTCACTCAGGATGGGATGGAGAAAGGAAACTCACAATGTGCTCTCTGTATACATGTTGTATTGGATGTACAATGCAGCTTGGTGCTGGGAAGTGGCAGCGTGGTTACAAGCGTGATGTAGAGAGAGCTGGTTGGTGAGGACGCTCAGAGGAGGACAGCTTGTGGGTCGCCATGCTCGCTGGCGGGAGCGAGAGCAGCAAGGCAGTGGCAGAGGAGGTGGTGTAGCTTGCTGGTTGGTGTAGGTAGAAAAGAGAGTGGTCACCACGAGGTCAGGTCTTAAATAGCGGAGGTAGGCGTGGCTTAGTAGTTGACCTCCGTCATGTAAGGCGGCGCTGGTTGACCTAGACCACGAGGCATACACTGGGGAATTCGCGGGATCAGCCACTCAGCGACAAACAGCGTTTGTAGGGGAGAAATCCACTACAACCCCTTCCTTGGAACAATGGCTACTACAAAAATATACATATTTTTAACTAAATGAAAAAGGCTTGAGAGTTAGAACCTAATCACGCAAGATGTAAGTTCAAATATAATTATCATGACCTCAGCATATCTGGTTGAGCCCGGATACTGTCAATCTCTTACTTTCCTTCAAGTTTCCTCCCTCTTTTCCTTGATCCGAAACCAATCGCCCCTCCCCCAAACTGCCACCAAAGAACTTCCAATCCTAATCCCGGCCCTCCCACTCAGCATTATAAGCAATAACCTGTAGTGGATATTTCCCCTACAACTACAACTGCCATTTGTCGCTGACCAGCCGATCCATTGTCGAGTTTCCCAGCCAAAGCCTCGTGGTCTGACAAAGCAGGGTCGGCTATCAAGCCACGCCTACCTCCGCTATATAAGCTCTCAACCTCGCCGGGTGAGGATCACACACCCAACACAGACAAAAAACCCAATACGTGCGCTATGCGCTAACCAAATAAACGCAGTCGTGTAAAGCCACGGCACTATCTCTCCCACTACAATTCCCTTCCTAACCTCCTGCTCCTTCCTCTGTCATCTTCCCCGCTCTGCCTTTCGCTACCAACAACTTTTTGGAGCTTCTAAACTTGAACTGAACGTGAACTCCCTTCTTCTACCTACAGCCCCGCAACACGCAACACCTCCTCTCAGCAAGATCCTCACCACACAGCAACTCCCTAGCACCGCACTGTACATACAATATATACTGTATACAGAAAATGCATTGTGAGTTTCCTTTCTCCAACCCATCCTGAGTGCAGCTCTACATCACGAAGCCCCACTCACCCACAGATACGAACAGGGTTAAATCTGAAATTTACAGTAGTATTTTATTTACCCAATGACTTATTTTTTACATTCATTTACTGTATTTTGTCATTCTATTTCTTCGTTTGTCTTAAATTAAGTGATTTAAGATGTATATAAGGACTTTGGCTATGATATAGTGGGATTTTAAACATTGTTCTGTAATTAAGGTATGCACATAGCATGTGTTCCGACTTACGTAAGAATCTGACTTAAGAACGTCCTCAGGAAAGGAATCCATTCGTAACCAGGGGACCCCCCGTGTATATGTATCAGTATACCCAACTATCTATATATATGTATCTGTCTACCTATCTATCTATATACCAGTATTAATCATCTATCTATCTATTACTAATGAGCGGTAACAACCCAGGTAACTACTGCATTATTGTAGTCTGGGAAGTAATTTGTGTATATTTTTTAGGGTAAGGTTTTCTGAATTAAACGTTTTATTGATACTATCATAATGACCGACTTTTGGTAAATTTATTTCACCTGCCTTGATGAACCATGGAAGTAGTTGTCCAACCTTCTCGGGTGATCAGCTCTGTAAATAAATATTATTAGATAATTATTTGTGCTTTCCTGTGCAACACAGTAATGTTATATTGAATACAGGGGGGTATATAAATATTACTAAACACATTAACTAATTCCATGCATATTAGCTGCCCCTACTACAAATTTCATAGTATAAACATTCCGAACAATATTGGTATTATTTTGGTTTTGGTCATCTGGGAAACCTTAAGATTCTAACTATGGGATTAAGTACTTTAAACAATAAGGCATATTATCTCTACGTGATTTCTGTTGCAAATTTTTTTTCGATCGCTAAGGAAAATACAGGTCATATGTTAGGTTAGGTTATGATGAGTTATAAGGTTAGCTTAACATACATCTCGTTAAGGGGTAGTAACTCAAAACTAGCAATTTCCGATAGAAATGAAGGTCTAAATCGTTCATAACACACCATCAGAAAAAAAACATAGTCTGCATGTCTAGGTACAAGGAAGACCAAGACTTAAAATTTACCCAATATTGCCTTTCTCGAATCTAAGCATCCAAATACTTATGGTAGTTAAAGTAAAATTTCACCCATTAATTTATATAAATGATGATATATCCCAGTGGTTCATTAGTAAATCATCAAAACAATAACAGCACTATGTTGTCATGTTTACCTAGCACCAGGCATTCTCAAAACAAAGTCCAGACAATGTCATTACATCTAAATTGACTAGTATCTCCATCTCTGTGTCATTTCCAGGGAAGGTGGTGACATCATTGCAAATGGCGGCCCTGTTTCTAGAGAAATAAACTTATCTCAACTATTATAGCAGGACAAATCATATACAGTATACCGTATCACTCTACGAACGTGGCAGTGTACAATATTTCTTGTGTTTACCCAGAACCGTCAATTCATCCATTCTAAGACACTTTTCTTCAATGACGTTTCTCTCACAAATGACTGGCATATATGTCACTTGCAAAGGAAATGTCATAGAAGAAAAGTGTCTTAAATTTGTATAACTACGGAATACTGTACAATACTGTAGTTATATTCCTAAGATTCCCCGGATGACTGAAACTAAAATACTGGACCTCTGTTTTTACTAAGGCAGCATATGGTGGCAAATTATCACTTTAGTCTTGGTAAGCATAGTGTTATTGTCCTCACAGTACAGTATAGGCATGAATCAAAATTATCTGTATGCTGACAATAAGTTTGTCTTTTGCATAATTATCACCACCACAACTACCACTACCCTGATGATGAAGGCAGTGAAAGTCAGCTCGTGAGTTTAAGTGTACAGTATTGAGTGATCTTGATCTGCTTTATGCTTATAAGATTAAGAAATAACATTTAAATTAATAAACTGCTGTATACATGTACTGTATTATGAATTGGTTTAGGTTGTTATTGTACAGTTTACATAAAACATTTAACAAAATAATAACTTGACTTGTTGCTTTACTTCCCAAAATAAAAATTGAGGTTACAATAGTTTATTTTACACTTGTTCAGACTGTGAATACTAAAGTTCAACATATTTTATTAAGTTTTGGTCTTAAATTTTACAAGATTTACTTAACTGAACTATTTATTATAAGTACTACAGTAATATCTCCGTTAGCCGGAATCCCTCAAACCCAGAGCTCTCTGATAGCCGGAACTGATATTTTCTCAGAAAGTAGTTCCCAAAACCTGAATTTTCCGGAAAATTCCAACTTTGGAAATGATTTTCCGAAGGGCACATTTTCTGGAAAATTCAGACAAATTTTTCCCGATAGTACCCAGAAAATTCTGGGGACGAGGGATATTTTTCCAGGTTTGAAAGATGATGTAATGGGCACTTTCTGGAACTTCCATGAAAAATTTTCCGTTACCCGGAAAATTCAGGAAAATTCCTGGGATGACAGATATTTTTCCGGGTTCGAGAGATGATGTAATGGGCAATTTCTGGAATTTCCGAGAACATTTTTCCGTTACCTGGGAAGTTCCAGGGATGAGGGATTATTTCTCGGCTTTGAGAGAGTCATCTCGTTACCCAGAAATTTCTCATTCCCGGAAGCGCTCTACACCAATTGTTCCGGCTAACAGAGATATCATTGTATTTGCTATTCATACGAATTTTCTTTTCTTTACAGATGTTAGATCCAGTTGGTTGTTAGTTACCGTTGTCTTGAAGAATGTGTAGGAGAGGAAGACCATGTTGCTGCAACCAGTGATAAAGAATTTTGAAGTTACTGAACCTGTGCCAGTGTTGGTCAAGTAGTCATAAATGAGCTCACACTCGGTGCCGTCGCATCAGATTGTTCCAAAAAAACTTTGCCCAAAATTTTCTGAACTTGTGGCTTTGTTGAGCTTAAATAGTGACCTATAGTAGGGAGGGCATCTGCCAGTTCATTATAAACACTAGAACTTCCAAATTAACTTCAATGTTTATCTACCGGTATTCACAAGTTTAAAAAGTTAAATTTATTTGAAAAAGAAAGTTAATCACTGTGAGGCATAAAGCATTGGCACCTATAACCTTTAATAGATATTATACCAAATTGATCTTTCAATTTTTTTAATATTTTTCATGGTACAGTATATATTTACACCGAATTCATGAATTCCATTCCACCATATTTACATCTTTTACACTAAAACATTAATGTCAGTCACTTTTACATTTTGCTTAGAGGTTTAACTCCTAAAATATTCATGCCAGCAGCAAGTGTGTGTCTTGCTGCCATGAAGAGTGCTAGTCTGGCTTCTGCGACCTCCAGGGGAGCTGATTTAACTTGTAAGAGCTTGATGGCATTGTTGATGGTTCCACTGTAAAAACACAAATATTGATTTAGTATGGGCTCAAAAGTTTTGTAAACATTTCGGTTACAAATGGATATGAATCCGTCTTACTTTACAGCACAAGAAATGTGTATCTAACAAATGATCTTAACACTTAGTTATAAGGAAAGGATCTATTACGCTTACTGGTATCATAATAAAGGGATGTCTACAAGTGATGGTATTATATGTCCTTTTACAAGAAGCTTTAGTTTGTTAATTGTGTGCAATATGGAGGAACTTGTATAGCCTCAGGTTGTATTTCATCTTCTTATCAGGATGTTAAATGGCTTAAGAAACTGAATAACTGATTAACCACATCTCTGTTGTTTTCATACAGTACAGGGTATTTGTAAAAAGTTAACACTGAAAAAACATGCATTTTCAAATTTATTAAAGTCCGTTTCATGCCTTCCTATAAATGATAAGATTATAGCATTATGAATTATGTCTAAGGCTTCACTGAAAATGTCACATTCAAAATTTTAAAAGCCCTAGAGTCTAAAGTTGAGTATGCATCTCAACACCAGGAACATCAAGTTAATTTTACACAATTAAAAAAGATGCTCCTGTATTGAAAAATCCTTTTTGTGAATGATAAAATGCGTGAGATAATGATGTGATTTAAAAATCTATAAATACTATAGAAAAACATTACATTCTCACTCAGGCATCTTAAATTTTGACAATGATCATTTCTATATGATATACAGTACAGTAATTCCTCATAATTATGATGCATGTTGCAATTTAATGACTAATACAGTAGGTATACATTATTTCTTACGGAAAAATTAACTTCCCATATGCAATTTCACACATATTACGCATAAGGGTTTTCAGGAATGGAACTCAAGCAATAAATAATGCCTACCTTTAAGTCTATATACAGTTAGTTTATAAAACTAAAGCATCTTATTGTTGACACAATAAACAAGTGAACAATGTGAAGCAATCACTCAGCATGTAAGTAAGGGAATATTATAATCCATGAACTATTACTTTATTTCTAAGATTCAGTGATACCAGGGCCAGCTGTAGCCTATGGGGGCCCTAAGCTAACTCTTTTGTACCCCCCCCCTCCACCTTCAAACTTCTCCTATATCGCGAGTTCTAGGGCAATCCGGGGGCATACACCTGAAGAATATTATTGATTTGATGCCATATCAACTTTGCAGTTCTCACTGAGGGCAGTGTTGCCAGGCCCTGATTTCCAGATGAGAATTATCATACTGGTACCCCAAATTCATCGTTTCTTTACCAAAATTATCGTAAATTATTATTGATTAATTTTCAGTTATTAAACACCTTACATTTTATTTACATGAGCACAGCCCGAAAGAGTTGCTAAACATTACTGTACAACATTATATCCCACGGCGCTGCCATATGACGGTCAGGACTAGGGGGCCCCCTTAGTGGTTGGGGTTCTACGCTCTGAACGTATAGAGCATGTAGGAAGGGCCGGCCTGAGTGATACAATATTATAACCATTGTGGGTAGAGTAAAACTACATTCATTTCCAATACTGTACAGTATTCTAGTTTCAAACTTGCAAATTTGTAGAATTATCTCAAACTGTGTCAATATCATCTTACCAGAGTTTAAACAAGTAGCTGACAAGTATACATGGCTCTAGTTCTCTGTAGGTCTGAACCAAAACTTCATCAAATCTGAAATAAAAGTAAAAGTTAATATACTGTAATCTTATTACTGTACATAAAAACAGAAAACTATGATATGGTTATGTGTAGTTAGAAACCTATATACAGTACTCACCTTGCAATTTCCATTATAAGAGTGAGAGCTTGTGGTTCTGTGAGGCAGCTGGTGTTTGCTTCTGGGTTATAATCTACACCACAATTTCCTTCCAGGCTTAAAAGGCGACAGTGAACATACTGCAGCTTGACTCCTGTATCACCACGACTCTGCAAGCCAAACAACCTATTGAAACTATCTGTTATTTCATTCGATCAGAGAACTATACAGTATTAATAAACAAATGTAATTAAGTGATCAGACTAAACCATGTAATTTCCCATGTATCATCTTACTCAACATATGAAGTCTTGGAACCTGATTTTCCTTTCGTTTTTACATTTTTTTACATTATTGTCATCATATGTTTGAATTTTATCTTTAAAAAATACCATAAGCCAAAGTCTTCTAATTGTAGAGTTACACCTAAAGCATGAATGCTTTCAAATTTCTGCCTATTTAAGAAATATGTGTGTCATAGCTTTCTTAAAGAAATTTATAAACTATCTGTATTTTACACCAATTACATTTGTACTTTTAACTTTAGACAATGTAACTGGTCTTAAAGCACTACATACTATTCTATTTAGAAAAAGTCATACCCTGTATACAGCATAGAACATATATACCTGTAGTGCTTTGTCCCAAGAGAAGACGTAATCTCTTTGACGCCGTTGCTTCATATCCCCAATTAATACACATGATGTTGCTACTCTTCCAGCTGTTTCTGCACCACTGAGTCGCACATCATCTCTAGTGGCTGAAAATTTAATACAGTACAGTCGACAAGTGAGAAGTAATTTATTTATACATATGGTAGCTAATATAGCATACTCTACTGTAAATCCCCATTTAATGTCGATCTAAACAAAATTGCTTTGTTTTTACACAACTAATCTATCAGGATACATAAAGCTTACTTTATTTCATGCAAATTTGTGAATGTCCCACTATAACATTGTTCAGAGATCGTTAGCTGGTGCTGAGAACCTGTACTTAGTCTCTCACACACACACACTGTATGCTCTCTCCCTTCTCATTCTTTGTCTTGTGTCTGCTGGGTGCTCATGTTAGTGCTGTTTTGCATAAACATGTGGACCCTTAAACACTATTTATGTGTTTCTACTCCACCTTCATGTCTCAAAAGTGTAGACCAAGTGAGAATAAAGTGCCTGCTGCCAAGAAGCAAGGGAAAACAATTATGGTATCCAAATTTAGCAAAGTGAAGTCTAAACTGAAAGTATCCCAAGAGGGACACAAGGAGGCAGTGTAGCCAGCAATAAGTCAGCCACCTTCATTCTCCAACAGTAGAGGTGGATAGCTATTTGTAGCTGGGTGGACTGCCCCAGGATTGGACTCTGCCACAACTCCCCTAAGTGAAGTCTTACCCAAGTACAAGCTCTTCATACTATTGCAGTCTCTCTCGTCAGGTTCTTAACTCTAATGTCATTTCTTACAACCTCTCTCCATGTCATTCTTGGCCTACCCCTACCTCTGCTCCCATTCATAATTAGGCTCAAAAACCACTGAACCACATTAGTGTCATCCATTCTCTCCACAGGGCCAAACTATCTCGGCCTGCTTCTATGTAGAACCTTGCCAATACTCTCAGTACCAAGTCACTCTCTTAACTCTGAACAAAATCTAATATGTTTCTGTGTCACATAGCACATCTCATTTCAGCTTACTCAAGCCTATTAATGTCATCTTCTTTAGCTGCCCATATTTTACTGCCATATATTCACACTGTTCATGCCAGTTGCATACAAACTTCCTCAAACCACTCCTGGCACTAATCATGTTACCCAGGTCACATACCTCACTGATGGAGTCTAGGGATATACTGTATCACAAATGTTGAGTTTCTCCAGCTTTGGTAAGAACACATGGTTACCTGAATATACAGAAGTCAGCAACATCCTACAGTCTACCATCTACTCAACTACAACTCTGGTGTACCCACCTTCCACATTCACTGTACATTATTGAGTGACTGCCAACATCATCCTTACAGACAGCACATGGCCATTTTCCATTTTCCACTATGGGTCCCTCACACATGCCACTAATCAATACTGTATACTGTACTTTTGTTTTTGTCACATTTACTCTCAAACAATTAAGACTATTCCTGCCTTTCATTTTTTTATTTCTTTGCTGCCTCTCAGTACTATCTGCTATCAGCACTAGGTCATTAGCATACAACACTCCCAGGACAGACCAATCCTAAAGTTCCATGATACTGCCCCCAACACCATGATAAACATAGGGGGCTCAAAGCAGACCCATGATGAATTCTTACTTTCACCTTAAATTCCTCACCTTATATTTTCACAGAGGTTTTTGTGCTTTCAAATAATGTCATAATCACTCGAAAAAAGGCATCCCTTGACCCCTAGCTATCTCATTGCACGCTTTACTACCTGACAAAGTAGCCTGTCAAATGCTTTCTCTTAAGTTACAAATATGAAATACAGCATCTCTCCTTCCATATATGTTTGTTTTGTAGTTCCCTGGCCATAAATATTGCTTCTGTAGTCCCTATACCTGGCATGAAACCAAACAGCATTTCGTTAATGTCTACTGTAAATTTTATAAAATTCTCAACCATTCTCTCCACAACTTAAATAACCTGATCTAACAACTTCAGGCCCCTGTAGTTCCCATGTTCAAGTGCACCACCTTTACCCTTGTAAGTGGTCAGTTACATTCTTCTTCCAATCACCTGGAACCAAGTTAAATCATTATAAAAAAATTTCCAGTGTTTGACAATTTGTGAGACTACAGCATCAAGCTGCTTATGAAAGATGATACAAACCAAAGAAACCAAACCTAACCAACTCATCTAGTAATTCAAAGTTACTTTTTAATAATGTTAGACTGACATGTATTTTGTCATCTTTCAGAAACAGTTTAATGTCAGTCTCAGCTGCCATTTATAAACAAACACTGGATGAAATACATGGAGGATGATGTACATAGAACAAGAACAATTAAATAGAACAATATAACAAGAGGACAGTTCTTATCCCTGTACAGCTCTAAATACTCCCGTACATTAACATCTTTCTTACCCTCAAACATCCTCAGCATGTCCTTCCACTTTACATTAGTATCTACTTCTTATCTTATCTTTTACCATGATAACATGCACTCTCTCCCTTCTATCAATTAATACACATTACTGTTGATCTCCTCACTTTCTGTCTCCTGCTGCTTCTGCATCATGATCTCTTGTGCTTCATCCAGAAGGTCTTGTAAGAAGATTGCCGTTCCCTTGCGAGTGCTCATACCCTGAATCCGTCCAAATTTAATGTGGGTCATACTCTCAGCCCATTCAAAGCCCAGATTCCTTATAATGCTAAATAAGGCAACAAAATGATCTGATTGTGAATTATCAACAACATAGTACATTTTGGTAAATTTATACTCTTCTTGTCTGTGTATGGCTGCAGCAATATCTCTCGAGAGGTATATACTGGATCCATCACTCTTGACAACAGTCACTTTTTGTTTGGGATTTACCTCATACACTTTTCTTCCATCCTCTAAAGTCTGCAGAAGATTCTTCTGCTCCAATAGTTTTAATACCTCTTGACATTTCTGAGCGCTATACATACTTTCACCATGATATTCATCAAATTTTACATTAAGACGTTCATATACGTGTTTAAACTCTTTTATAGACACATTTCTGAAAAATTCCCAAGTTTCCAGTTCCCTATTGTCTCCTTGTTCCATTTTATTAAATATGTCTCGAGCTTTACTGCTTACACTGGGGTCTGATTCTGCTTTTTGGTTAGCCCATACGTATACTTCATACAGCTTTTTTATGGCATCTTCCTCTAAATCCTTTTCTGTAATGTTTCTCGCATCATATCTGAAAAAAGGATGGAATAATATCTAAATAATTACCGTATTCACTATGAGAACTAAGAGAGTTTTTTAAATATGTACAGTGGTCCCTCGGTTAACGAGCACAATCCGTTCTAGAAGGTTGCTCGTTAACCGAAAAACTCGTCAACCGAAACCATTGTTTCAATGGGTTTTGGGGTAATTGGTTCCATCTCACCGAAAATTGCCTAAATTCAACAAAAAAGGTAGAAAAGTACACTTACTTTGAGGTGTGTATGTAGAAGGCTCCTGGATGATGATGATGATGATGATGGGAATTAGAATGGGGGTGGAGGAGAAGAGAAGGCATTGGGGTGGAAGAGAAGTCACCCCATGGCGCCATTTCACCCATAAAATTTTAGTTCTCTTGGTGTAATTCAAGATTATGTTCTTTAAATCAACACTGCACTGCATTATATATTGTCAATATGTAAAATAGATTTCAAAATGACCAATAATTTGCTTGCAAACACAGAAAAAAAGCATTTAGTTGAAGAGAGTCTCAAGCAAGATGTTACCTCCACTGAAAAGACACAAAGACTGACGCCTGTATGGTGTGTTGGCAGGCTGGATGGCATGTTCAATAATTGTTTTAATTACTAAAAAAATTAATATTAAACTTTTAAAATTATTGAATAGTATAAACTTCTTGATATTAACTAAAATGGTAAGGAATTTAAGCCCTAGAACCGATTACCGTACTGTACTGGCGGACTAATACGACAGCTGGTGGACCGCCAAATGCAAGCGAAAACATGTTCAGGTTGGCTCGTAAGAAACTCGTTAATCGAGGGATTGCTCGTTAACCGAAGTTAAGATTCTTATGGAAGGTAACTCGTTAACCGAAATCTCGTTAACCAAGGCGCTCGTTAACCGAGGGACCACTGTATAGCAGTAACACAACCAAGGATTTTTGGTGGTGGTGGTGGGGGGAGGCAAATTTTCTGACAAATGAGTATATCACAGATACTGTTTAAATGCAAGGAACACATATATATGTACTGTACGGTATATGATAATACTGCACACTGCATCAATAGTGTCATACTGTATCTCAAAAGTTGATATTCTAATGAACCCCATACACATGTCTAACTAACTAAACAAAGGCCATAATAATGTATCTGAGATTATTTAATAATATTAAACTGCTCTTCACAAAGTCTCATTTACAGGAATAGATTTTTTTACTCTTGCCATTATTTCCCACATAAGTTAGTGTAGGGTGACCATGATAAACTCTCTGTCTAAAAGTCCTTGTACTCTCCCATCTAGCTGTGTCCTGTGAGGTGGCTTTGCATGTTGCAATTGTTACATGTAATGAAACTATGAAAGTTGTGGAAATATCGTTATATTACTCTATGTATTGTGACTTAGAAATAAAGAAAATATAATATATGACTATAAAATAAGAAAAAGGAAGAGCAATGTGTTTATTCTGTGTGAGAGGTGAAAGTATGCGTGGAGTCATAGGGAAGTTTGTCAATAGCACATGTCTGGTGACTTGTCTACCGTTAAGCCTATTTCATTTGCTCCTGATTCCAGCCATCCTCCATCAATAGCAAGAAAAATGTCATGAAGGTTAAAAAAAAATTAAAAATTTCACTTGCTGTTTTGTCTTGAGTTATTAATAATTAGTGTATCAGTACTGCGAGTGATTACTGGCAATATGTGTAAGACAATTTCTTACCATCAAGCACATACTTCTGTACTACTGTTCTGGTTAAGTTACATGGGCCCCTGTCCTGTTAGACCATAGTCCTAATAAGCCCACCTTCCCTCACCTAACCATATAATAAGGCTCCTGTCTTAATGGGCCACATTCCTGATAGTAAAGTTAGATTGAGTTGAGTCAGGCTAGGTTGGAGCATATTTGAGCTGGAGCCATGTAACCTACAACCACTCTATATATACTTATCAAAATATTACAATATTCAAAGTTCCAACAATCTCACCCATATTTCAGAATCCCAAACTGTGTACCCCAGTCACCGAGGTAGTTTATGCGAGTCACATTATGGCCGAGAGCTGCGTGCAGGTTAGCAATAAAGTTTCCAATAATGGTGGACCGAAGATGACCGATGTGGAATGGCTTGGCTATGTTGGGCGAGCTGAAAGAAGAGACCATATTAGCATCTGCTGAAACCACTGTTTAAATAAGTCTTGAATTTCTGAAGAAATTGCACTTATTTAACAACACAGGATATGAGAAAATAAACTTTTGGGCAAACATTATATTTCAAGATATCAGAATGGTAAACATGATAAACCTGTAAAATGACTCAAACATAACTCTCAAGTTTTTCCATGGGACCTCTTCCCATAACGTGTCAGATAAATTAAATGATACATGGCCAACCTAAAACACACAAATCTAAGATCAAATTTAAAATAAATAAATCATGAGAGATCCCTGTCTCCGACATAAGTGCTGTTCATACATGGTTAACCTCTTAGACATGACAAATGCTAGGGAAGTTTATCTAAACATAAATGGAATCAGAAATGAATGCTGATGTCCAATCAATAATAGTTAAGTGGGTTACAGCAGCCAGTTCTGTTCACTAATCATAAAATCTTTCTCTCTGGTAAGAAACTATAACATTTACCAACCCTGTTTCTGAGTCAGTGCTGGAGAATAGCACAGAAAATATCTATACCGTATTCTGTACTTCAAAGGAGACCTTCCCAGTGATTGAAAAAAAATTAATATTTGTATTATTACCAAAGAAGCCAGTAGTCTTAGAGTACACTCAGTTTAGAACAATTAGCTTAATTACAATTAATAAGTCATGCTGGCAAAGTTCTATTAAACATAATTTTAAGTATAGAATAAAATTTAAAATAGACAGTGAGTTATCTGAAGATCAAAAAGGATTCAGAAAAGGAAAAAGAACTAAAGAAGATATATTTGGTTTGGTAATTTTGAGTGAAAAGGCTTTACATGTCCCCAAAATTTTTATATCTGCTTTGTTAATTTAAAAAAAGCTTTATACAGTATATGGTAAAACACAATAAATGTATAGAGGTTTGGAAAAAATAGGGAATAATGAAGGAAATACAGTACTGTATTAGAATTATAAAAAACCTTTACAGGGAACAAGAAGCTGCAGTGTTAGTAAATAATGAACTTACTAATTGGTTCATAGTTACACAGGGTGTAAGACAAGGCTGTGTTCTATCTCCAGCATTATATAATATATATTTAGAATTCTTAATGAGAGAAATGATAAGTAACAATGAAGGAATAAAAGCTAATGGTAAAGTAATAGTATCAGATATATGCTATGCAGATGATACAGTTCTGCTCTTATAATGGATAGTAAAGAGGCATTACAAAAGCTGGTTAAAATATAAGTGGAAAAAGGTGAAAAATATGGGTTAAGAGTTGATGCTGTAATGACAAAAACACAGTAATGGTTGTTTCCAAATTGGAAATAAATCCTAAGATAAAATTATGATAGGCAACAGGGAACTTAAGCCAAGTGGAAAATTTTGTGTACAGTATTTGGAAAGTAACATTAGGTGTAATGATAAATGTACAAAAAAAAATCATACCAAGGTCAAGCAAAAACAGCTTTCAATAATCTAAACGACATAATGAAAAGAGACATTAACTTCGCTTTAAGAAAATGGTTGCTGAAAAGCTTTATATGGCAAGGACTGTTGTATGGGCCAGAAGCTAGGACATTTTCAGCTGACACCAGAAAGAGGTTAGAGGTCTTTGAAATTTGATGTTTTAGACAAATATTAAAAATATGTTACACTGGCAGGAAAACAAATGAAGAAGAACTAAGGTTAGCAAAAACTTCAAGAGAAATACTTGAAATGTACAGAAAAAGACAAATGAGCTACTTTGGTCATATATTTAGGGTTGAGGGAATAATAACAGAAATATTTTTGGGCAAAGTTGAGGGTAGGATGTCCAGGGGAAGGCAGAAACTGGGATGGATGAATGAAATTAAAAATTGGGTCCCCAGAGAGATACAAAATTTTGGAGGATTGGTAAAAACAGCCCAAAAATGTTTTGAGTGGGGGACTGTGGTTGGCAACCCTCAGATACTCTGATTAATTAATTAATTAAGAGTGCAGGGGTATGAACTTCCTTTTAAGGCCTATGTGGTTCAAATCATGTGTCTACATGAGGCTTTGACTGTCAACATAAAGTACCTGTCTTTGAGACAGTCATCATAACAAATGAGATGGAGTCATCAACTCAGGTTTGACTGAATGAGAGGGCTACTTGGATCAAAAAATATTGTTTATGTGGATGGTATCAAAGCCTTCTGACAAAGACCAGCTCTATCAAGGGAGAATCAGCAGTACGGATCTTACAAATCTATTCCCAAATCTTTCATTTCTAAGTGCAATATTCACATGGAATCTTACCCAGATTGACTAAACTTGTGTGTCTTAATCTCATGTCATTCAATGAAAGAACACACAAACGCACCTGTACTCTACAACAACCTTCTGAAACGGTAAGAGGTTCACCAGTGCACTGCAACGCCAAAAGGAGTTGGGTCTGTGGGTTGTGATCTTCACCACCTCTGACACCAATTGACTGTTGTTTACTGGGGACAAGAAAAATTAGCAGCTTATAGATAAATATAAGACTTTTTGGTTTCAGACAACCTATGTAATGTGAAAGTTATTTTAGTCTACACAATCACACATACAAAAAAAAAAGGAACTTGAAAGTGATTTCTCTCCTGCCCAGCATAACTCCTCAATGATTAGTTAAATATAAAAACATTTGAAGAGATAAAAACATTTACTAAATAACAACTATTAGCAGTAGCAGAAAACCCCCAAAAGAACAATGCCCCCCACACACATAAATGGATGCATGTGCATGCATTTATACACACATACAGAATAACAAATTGTTTACCAGTAAAGCCCTCGATATATGCGAGTTCAGCATATGCGAGTTCGCTCATATGCGAAGACCCTATTCCTACCAAGAATTCAATTAGTGCAAACAAAATTCAGCCTTAGGCAAAATGTCACACTCTCTGATATAGATGTCAATCCTGATGACTCTGCAGATGTCACTCCAACACTATCACCCACCATGTAAAACCTCTACCACCACCTCCATCATCTCATCTACCTAAGCTGATGAATCTGCTTTTATTTTTAAGTACACTGTACTAGTACGTATATACTTGCTTTATCTATTATTTTAAAAATATTATTGTATTGATTTGTTTTATGGTTTATTTGTCTGGAAATTGTGTTGAAAATGGGTACAGAACATTTCTTCTTGGGTTATGGAATGCATCCTATTTTCCCATTTAATTAAGTATTCAATATGTATGATGTCGGTTTATGCGAGGGTTTTCAGGAAAGCATCACTTGCATATATCGAGGACTTACTGTACTCAAATGAAGTATTCAAACATCACCCGTAGGAAAATGTAACGACTTTAGGAACACATCTATAAATACGTACTGTACTTTATAATGATAGTATAATGTCCCCATTTAGAGCAGATTTATTCAGTACTCTTTTCTCCAGAAATGCATCCTAAATCCATAGTGCTAAGTGGGGTATTACTGTATGACAAATAAATTACCTCCTTATACATTATAGGTGTGTACTGTACAAGTAACTGAAATGTAATTTGTTACTGTTCTTATTTTTTTCCATACACTGTTCTAAAGATTATGTATGCCCTATCACAATACTTTACTGTATATCTTGTTCCTAACATTCTTCCCCTCAATATTATAATATTCTTTACAAAATCTCCAAATACATGATGAATGCTGGCTGATTAAAAAGGTGTTCTACTATTACTAATTTTAATTTTCAGCATTGTACACTCAACTTCACTTTAACGAGTTTCACATTACTGATACATCACAATAACGACAGTAATGAAATGTGACATCTCAACACATTAACGATACATGTCAACACAATAATGATCAGTAGTACAAGTTGATAGTCGCACTGGACGGCCATCTTAATGACATCAGAGAGTGTGAACAGGTGGTGCGGTGTAGCCTACTCACTTATCTTTGAACGTGTTGCCTAATCTCTCTACCTGTGTGTGATCTGTTAGATGATTTACCTCTAGACCACTGGCTTTGAGACTGTAGGATCAGTTGGTGGTGGCACAGGGGAAGCAGCGCAGTATGAGAGTGTGGGGGCAGGAGGGCACTAACACCACTCCCCTGCCTCGGATGACAGCAAACAATCTCATTAAGCAGTTCAATGAGTGTCAAAAGGTTAATCATTACAGTATTAGTTATTAACTCTACATGTATGTGAATAAGTGGTTGTAATTTTTTGTGGGGTTTATAGGGGTTATAGGGGGTGAAAAGTGTCTGCGGGCTGGTACCAATTGACCCATTTAGCATGTAAACTAAACTCACCACATTAACAATTTTCACTTTAATGACTGTTTTCAGGTTACTAATTAGTTGTTAAAGTGAAGTATGGACTGTATAGCATTTGAACATGACAAATATTAATTATGATTGAAAAAAAAAGAGTTGCACATGATAACCACATGCAGAGCATGCAGTACGGTACGGTACAGTTATGAGGGTGATAAAAGTTCGGTTCGATATTTCGGTTCAATATTTTTTTTTCAAAGTTCAGTATAATACGAAAGTACGATTAATTTTTCGTACTTTTATCGTACCATTTTGATCCAAACCACTCCCTTGAAATGTTGACCCATATGGCCAGGACAATAGCTTGGGGGGATGCAGGTGTGCTCCAGCCTTCAGGTCAGGTCAGGTGAAGCCGTGATGTCAGGTCAGGTCAGATCCGGCCACACTCAGTGAGCCAGTGAGACCCATAAAATTACATTACCCCTACATTACCCCAGGGGAAGCCCCTGCCAGGCTTTGACACACACACGGGCTGCCAGTGACACAAGCTAGTGTCGAACGAACCTTTTCCGGCTGGGAGTCAAGGCGGATCTTGCATTGCGTTCCAACACATAATAATTATGTAGTTTTTGTGGGCTAGGGACAAAAAATTCAGTAGAATGTGAAAATTTAGCATTAATATGTTAGAATATTAAATATTATTTTGTTATGAATAAAACACAAAAGTTATTAATATAATTATTCTCGTTTTGTTACATTTTAAATTGGGCTACATTTTGTTTGGGGGTATGAAATCAGGTACGAAATTACGGTACGATATTTTATCATACTAGTACGGTACGAAGGTATATCTGAGGTACGGTACGAAATTACGGTCAGGTATTTTTTCTTTGGTACAACTTACGATACATCAATCGTACCGTACCGAACTGCATGCTCTGACCACATGCCATGAATGAGTCCAGGTCCAGATCATGACAGGGCCAGGGAATGCATGGTTACTGGCTGGCATAAGTGCAAATTCTCAGAGGTTTGTATTGAGTGTAGTTCATGTACTGTAACTGAAGAAGTATGAATGCACCTGACTGACCGTTCTAACTCTCTCATGGTTAAATACGATACAGTAATACTGTACTAGACACAATAGTACAGTATATGTAAAAAAAAAATCTGTTTGTTTTTGTCTAAAATTACCATTGTTGTTGTAATATTATTACCACGCTTCAGCAACTAAGGTCTTTAAGCGTGTAACAAGCGTGTTAGAATACTCAATGCCTACAATCATGGAAAATATTATACAGTATGTATTAAAATGCCATTAAAGTCCATGCAGTACTACATATCTCATGGGTTTGGCAATTTGACTTACGGTGCCAAGTCAGCCAGGCAATAATGTCTTCATCTTGCAAATTTAATATTTTGATACTGTAATGACAAATGATATCTTCTGATACAATACACCCACTCATATCATATCTGCCCAGGGTCCAGTCACAAAGGTTCATACAGTAAATATGTCCCTAACTACTTGACTTAAAGTAAAATATAAATGCAACATCCAAAAATAACGTAAAAATAAAACTGAGGCTCAACTTAACTAAATACACTGCTAAAGACCTGCTAGGAGGTGAAATTAAAATGTCATCTACAAACAGTGACTCAAATTTCCCTATACAGTACAGTAGTTATAAGCTTAAGTGCCAGCAGTGATGATGTACTCAGAGCTGAGGTTTATTGTGACTTGTATACTGTATATATAAACTCTCTGTACTATGACTCATTACCTTTGAAATTTAACCTTACATCAGTTTTGTCTTGAACAAGGTAGATGCCTGGAATAGTAGGATCTGTGTCAAACTTCTCTATTAATGCTGAGCCACAACTGATGAAGTCCTTTCTGTCAACAAAAGGCACAAGGAAGAATTAACTGAGGGTAGATTCTTAAACAAGATACTGTATATGCTTCCCAAATCCTAACATATAATGTATCACATCTAACACAGGGTCCCACTAATTTCCTGTGACAGTAGCCTGGAACATGGTCAACAGCAATACTGCACCCATTTTTATCTGTATATCAAATTCAGAAAAATCTACTGTACGTATATAAAGTATTTAAAATTTTCAGTTATATAAGACAGAAGTCTAGCTCCAAACAGTACTCACAACACCAAATGAAAGGATATTTTAGACAGGCAAGTGGAAATGTTTTTTTATGAAGTCTAGTGTCCATCACTTCAAATACACCAAGTTACTCTGTTAGTAATGTTAACCCATTACTGTACTACCTACACAGATGTTACTGGAACTGTCATGCAGTACTTCAGAATTGGATTACCATACTTTTGTCATGGAAGCATAAATCATGAAAGAAGTAAGGGCTAATGAAGTTTTTCCTAATGAATATATGGGGGTTCTCACTATAGTACATTGTACTGGTATCAGTAAATGTCCTTTCATATATACAGGACATTGCTAACAAATATTGTTTCACATATACATCATCTGCATCATTCACTGTTTTATACTAAGTCTGAGTGTACCTGAAAATGCCCTGCAAGTGTTATGTCTCTACCATGTCAAAATACATCAGTCACTCTCACACGACTGTATGCTAATACCATTGTTATACAGCTTGTAAGTACAGTAACCATAAAATTTATGGGAATGCCATTTCAATGTGCTAGTGTGCCTTGTAAATAAAGAAAGTACTGTACTGTATACCATACAGTAATGTAAATACATGTACTTAAAATACAATAAAATTAGGACGTATTTTGTGTGGGAGTATATTGAGTCTAGAAATCACCATAACACACGGGCACTTATTAGCTATGAAATGGTTGCACACATGCCATTGCTACATTAAAAACCATGAAAATTGTGAAAATATATTCTCATTGCTCTAATGTGACTTAGAAATAAAGAAAATAAATTGTAAAATAAGAAAAATTATGAGTGGAAAGTGAGTTTTGTGTGGGATAGGTGGGAGGTTGGGTATTAAATTCCCAGTTCCTTGTTTACAAAGTGCAAACAGCTGACCGTCCTCACCCTCCCTCGCATTGTTATCAGTGCTCTCCTTCACTAATGCACCTCTACTGTCACTGTTCAAAATGGTTGTGCTTACCACAATAACTGTCTTCAACATTTAGTAAATAATAGTGTGGTGTATTTATAAGCACTTAATAAATAATATTGGAATGTATTATGCATCTGTCTATTCCGTGGTTTATTCATTAATCAGTAGCTAAGTGTACAAGAAACCAAATTGTGCCATCATGTAACACTGAAAGGTAACAAATAATGTTGTTAGGAATGTATCTCCATATTAAATACTATACAGTACAGTATGTTATTATGACCCTGTTGCAAGCTGATTTGCTGAGCTTTCAAAGGCCATGTACAGTACATGTTGGAATGCATATACTGTACCCTAATTACATTAATTCTTATGAGGAAAAATTTCTTGTTATAAAATGTTTCACTCTTAGTCGCTTTTCTCTGGAACACTTCCCCGGCGTATAATGAGGACCCCCTACTGGTACTGGTACAATATATTGCCAGGACCCAAACCATTCATCCAAACTTTTACTTCACATAAATTCTTGTTTGATAGTGTTCCCTCATCATATTAATAATTTTACTGGTTTCCTATCTATCTGCCTCTTGCTCATATCTATTAAAGTTACTGTCATTCTCATTACACATTCATATTTCTCATATCTGACACATGAAGCACAAAATACCATTAATTCAATTAAGTTACTTTATCTATAAACATTCTTATCACTATAATATGGGTTTGTTAGAAATAGTAATGAGATGACCTGTAACAATATACAGTACTGTACTTGATGTAGAATTACACACCCTGTCCTGTTTCAGAAAGTAAGGAAGATGTGATACAAATACTGTACAATTACAGTATATACACTGGCAGTCAAATACTCTATCTATTCTGGCTGGTGTGAAGATCAAATTTTTCCTCCCCAAAAAATAAAAAGGAGTGAAATAAAACAATGTGAAGCATCATACACAGTACAGTACAGTATTAAGCAGTGTGTGTTTATAATTTTAGTGTGTACAAATGAAGTAGCATATAAAGCCCATCATGGAGGTTTATCCATACTGTATGTACAGTAGAATGATCTGTTTAACTTTCAACTTTAAACATACATATCATACACAAATACCAAAAAGTAATGTATTTCCTTTAGCCTTATGAGAGATTAAAGTAATGATACTCGATAATACTCACTGGTTACGTAGGTCATTATTTATAAGACCTTGTTGCTGAAGGGCCTTTAATGATACTTGAAACTCTGGTTTTGAACCAGCTTTTGGATCAACCTATAAATTAATTTATAAGAAAATAATGAAAGTTAAGATGATCTACAAGTGATTCTTCAATACAACTACAGTATTTCATTTTTAGTCTGCAAATACAGAAATAAAATATTCAAAAGAATAATGCTGTACGTATGCAAGATAACTAAACTTAAGTTAAACTGTGTACAACACTACCAAGTTTCAATAACACACCTGAATATAGGGAATAAGTGTAGATGGTTTCACTCCTCTGTCTCCAATAGGAAAACCATCTAAGACTTGTATGATCTGTTGAAACAATCACTCAATTAGTAAAAAGTTTGTAATGTAATGAACAGAATAATGTAGTTTTTTAATAATACAGTATTATATTTATGTAACAGGACAATATCTTGTATGTATACAATATATACAGTAGTATGTTGAATTTCATAAAAATTGGAAATAATGTACTGTATATTCAACTGACAGTACAAGCAAGCTGTTAGTTGTACTCTGGGTGGACCATATTTCTGTCATTCAAGTGCGGACTGACTGAGCTGAGAGAAGTCAACACGGTGTGAATTTATTAGTGTGACTTTCAGTAAGGAAGGCAATTACAGTATACAGGAAAACCTTTTACACCTGGTCTTCTTATTTGTGGCTTTGATTATACTGTACTGTATCTGGATGATCAGAGAGTTAGCCAGACTAGTTTAGGTACGGTATGGTCTCAAGTCCAAAAAGAGAGTACCAGTCTGAAGGAATGACCCATATATCAGTCTCCGGTGAATTTAAAGTCTTGCACCGATGTTTCTTTCGCTGTTATTAATATGTATTTCGTAATGCTTAGACAATTCTAATACATTTTTCTTCTATGATATTTCCACGGGAAATTAAGGATAACCGAGATATTAATTTTTTCAATATTATTATATTCGTTCAGTCACAAGTTTTGCCATGTCTTGTTTACTTTTGGGGGAGTCTGACACTCTCTCACGCGTCGCTCCTTACTTCCGTCTTCGCTTCTTCAGCGTCTACAGCGCATGTGCATTGACGACCCAGATGACCCGATTCTTTTTCAGATTAAGGTAAGATGTGGGGGCATGAACAAAGGGGGTCCTGAGGGGCTCTGCCCCCCCTGGTTAGGTTAGGTTAGGTTTGGTTTTGCTGGCTGGTTGGTATTTTATTTTTGTGATTTATAAAAAAAAAATTCCTTTATGATTGTTGGGTGGGAGGGGGGGAAGGGTAATCTAAAAAAAACTAGTGATTTCCAGCGGAAATGAAAATCATATTAGTTCAAAACTCATCAAATACCATAGGAGAAACCTATTTTTAATATAATAATAAAGATCGGTGCAATACTACCTACTCTGCCAAAAGTAAGCAAGACGTGGCAAAACTTGTGACTGAGCAAATGTAATAATATTGAAAAAATAATATCTCGGTTATCCTTAATTTCCGGTGGAAATATCATAGAAGAAAAATGTATTAGAATAGTCTAAACATTACGAAATACATATTAATAGCAGCGAAAGAAAGACCGGTGCAAGACTATAAATTGACGTAGTCTTCTTCTGGAGGTAACCATTTCCTCTTAAATTACCAGACAAATAATTCCTCTATATTACCCATCATGTAGTTTCCAACATAACAATGAACATTTACTACACAATTTTTTCTCTGAAAAAAAAAATATTTTGGTAAAAATGGAGGAGACGGTGTGTGCCGCCCACACGTTGCCTACCAACCTTATTTGATATGAGGGACCTAAACTTGTGTGCCATCATGAGAAAACTTTCACTCAGTTAACATTTACTATACAGCAGTGACAGTACAGTATGCTGCAGCCATGTTGTGTTTGTTGTTATACTCGTTTTTGTAAGGAACGGATATTAAGAGTACAGTATAATCCCAACAATTTCTTATACTTCTTGTATTTGTTCAATTATTATGCTAGAAAAATACAAATTTATCTATAATGTATTGCATCAAACTTTATATATCAATAACTGTACTGTTACTATAACTCACAGTGCTAGAGTAACACACACACACTAGTTAAAGGAACACTCACCACTGAGACACTCCCTGAACGGTCAATGTTTACATTTTATTCGCGTCATTTAAATAACATTAAATCATCCCCCAGATATTTAAATATCTTTTAGTAAATATTTACTTTCAGTTTAAATGGCCCTCGTCCTGTAATGGTTGGAGTCTTGCGTCTAAGATGAAATTTAGTAGAATGTGCAGTGATTTATCCTGTGATGATACAAGTAATTATTATTCTGTGGCAGTACTTGGGATGAGATGACAACAGGAACATTAATACCTGGTCCTACATCCTGTTTTCACCTGTTAAAGGCAATATTGTATTTGTTTCGTCTTCTGTTTTCAATTTCACTCCATCTCTTGTGTCCTGGTATGCTGATGCCCAAATTACCAAGAGGAAGGTCATTGCTTTATCTTCTAAAAATATTAGGGCCAAATTGACAGCTTTGACCAGCTGTCCATAAATTTGCACTTCCACCTCCCGATGTTAGAAAGTCAAAAATATATTTTTCTAGTGTGTGTGTGTGTGTGTGTAGACCGAATGTGACCTTCATTTCCGTCGGAAGTTGACCTTTTTTTTTATCGATTTTTTTTTCGTGGGACGTTTTTCAAAAAAAAAATAATGGCTAGGCGAATAAAAAATACACCAAAACACACTAGAAAACCAAAACCAAACCTACCCTAACCTAACTGACTCTCGCCATATGATGGAATCACCTATTTCTTACCTTATTGGCCTGGAAACCAGGTTCTTGTTCGTCGTTGGATTCAGAGATTCTTAAACAACGCCACATATGTTGGTCTTTGCGATATTTACATTGTCTTGCTCTTAGTACACTTTACTGAGGTTGGGAGAACACCATGCGATCGAAAAAATGCTATAGTTTCTTCCCCAAAACTCATAATCGGCTCCATATAATTTAAGTGACACCCATCGCAGACTTCCATGATCGGAACTGAACTTGAATTTCGAAATATGAGAGACCCAAAATAAAACTTGAATTTGATTGGGCCAAAAATACAGCGAATTAAATCCAAAATCATTTTAATTGGTTGCAAAAAGAAACCGCTTTTGATTGGTCGCCTGATGTGTACGGGAACGCATGCGCATGATGATTTATGAAGGAGACACGCAGGAGACACGCAGTGTGAGATTTGAGGTAGGCGATAAATGGCGGAGATTAATGGAAGAAAATCAAGAAATTTTTGGATTTGCGCTCTCAGTTATTATACATTTGCGACAGTAAAGTAATAGATGAAAATTATCTTATAATTAGACGTCTTATTAGAATATGATAATAGATTAATGGTAGGAATGTGGAATGTTTAAATGCAATAATACCCAGCAGTCTACCAGTTGCTTTTATCTCACTGTCATTGAAGATATTGTGTTACTTAACTCTGGACTTACGGTGAAGGTACCAATTAAATAACATAGTGAGGTACCCCAACTGTGAAGATCATTGTTAGGTGACACAGTGTGGTACTGAAAAATACCTTCACTGTGCAGCCCATGGCTCAGTGACAGTGAAGAACTTCAGTGAGTGAAAGAAAGGCAAGTTGGTGGACAGCTGGCCATAGACATCCATTCATCCCTAAACTGTTGAGAAGAATGAGTACTAGCTAGTCTTTCACTGCTTCAGACAAAGGTGTTACACTTTACTGTACAGCAGGCAAAATAGAATGAAAGATAAAATGGATACTGTATATAAAACTGAGCTTACCACTTATAACAACTATAAATGCAGTATGAACTTGGAACTAATAATTCGAATTAGCTTGGATCAATTATGTTATCAGTTTTTTATTTTGTGCCCTATAACTCTGTTAAATAATTGTCCTTGTAATACAATGAGTGAATAATGAGCCAATTTGGAATTTTCAGTGGTACAATAAATGTAATAATGTAAAACTGGAAATGACTGAATAAATAGAAAATAGTATAGTTACTTATACTATTTATATCAAGCACTACCATAAGAACTCTTTGTAGGTGTCTTGTTAGAGACTAAATGGACAAAAGAAAAATCAAGAATCATGTGGAAAACTTTCAATGTAAGTGAAAAAAATGAAGAAGCCTTCAGAGAATTATGTAAACAATTTCGGCAGAGTCCTGGCGTTTTCCAGTGTAAGCACGTGGACTTAATGAACTATGAAGAAAAAAATACTCAACAAAATATGGAGAGAGACAAAAGCACACAAAAGAGAAAGATTATATTAGGTACCAGCACTACATCATCTGTGGGCACTTCTAAGACAAAGTCCCAGTTGTCCAGCAAACCTGATGTTAAGACAATGCAAAAAAAAATAATAAGTTCTCTAAGCAGTTCAGAAAAATTTGACTTAAGTTTTTATAATTCAGTTGAGCCACTTGATGCGTGTAGTAGCAATGCCCTCATAATAAATGATGAACACTTGGTTCAGATCTGCAAGAAAAGTGAAAAATCAGGGGAACCTGCAGCAGCTCTACTGGGAAGACTTCTTATATTGCCCAAGGTATGTTATTCCTTACTACTGAAGTTTATCTTGCATTTCTTTTCCAATTTATAACCTATAGTTTTCTTTTGAACTTAGATTCATGTGTGTGTATGTGATAAAATAGATGAATACTTTTTGAAATCCTACATATAGTGCCCAGTTCCCACTCTGTAAAGGGGATTGGTGATAGGAAGGGTATCCAGCTATAAAACTTACCCCTACAATACATTATAGTACAGTACAGGACATACTTCAAATTTGCCTAATGGCAACCAGGACACCAAGCCATCAAATAATCATTGCTAACTCACTCAAGAATGGAGGACGGCTGTACACATTGGTGATGATGATGATGATTATGATGATGGTATTAGGAAATTTAGACTCGTACACCTCTTGATCCAATTGGTCTTCTCCATTCTTTCCACGTGCCTGAACCATCTCAGCCTACCTCTATGAAAACTTCACCAAAGCTCTCAATACCCTACTTCCCTCTTAGTTATGAACAAGGTTTCCTATCTTTCAATGTGACATTGTACATCCACCTCACCATTGTTATTTCAGCTTGTTCAAGCTTACATATATAATTCTTTTGAACCAACTATGTTTCACTGCCATACATCACACTTCTCACACTGGTTGAAAGGAAAGTCCTCTTGCCATCAATGAAGGCAGCAAGTTCCTAAACTTCCTCCAGCTACTTCTAACTCTTGCAAATTAGCTAGCTTCAAGAAGACCTCTAGAACTAATCATGTCATTCAGGTATCAGAACTCATCAGCATTGTCCAGGGATATATCCTCAATGTTGAGTTTCTCCTGCCTTGCTAAGGCCACATGATTACCTGTACCTATAGAACACTTAAACTCAGGAACATCCCACAGTCTGCCATATTCTACTGTACATACCTATTGGATTCTCACCTTCCACACTCATTGTACATTATTGAGTTGCTGCCAACATCTTTCTTACAGACAGGTCATGGCCCTCAGCTATGTCACTAATCAATACCGGGTACTTTTGCTTTGGCCACATTCACTCTCAAGGCCTTCCACTATTAGCACCAAGTCATCAATATACAACAAATCCCAGGGCAGACCAGTCATAAAATCCCACAACATAGTTGTCACTTCTCATTCATTGCTTACAATGTCCTTGCTTCTACTCAATATTTGACATGCAAATGTTTATCTGCACAATTGTTTGATATACACACCAGTTTAATTTCTAAGACAAATTAGAACACTACAGTAATGATAAAACAAGGCATGAATGTATGAGAAGATTGTGTAAATTCAAAAGTCTTGAAGTGTTGCATTAAAGTGATATGGACAAATGACAGGTAAGAATTTGGTTAGGAAAATTTATTAAAGCTCTTTGAAGGTGTGTAATTACAAATACTGTAACAACAATGTATGTGAACAGGAGAAACATTTCCTTCTTCAATGATAACACTTTGTACAGTATACAGTTTACCTAACCTGATCACTGTACAGTATTTACAATCTACGCAGCTGTACCACCTGCCCAGCAAACTATCCACACCAGCTGTTGAAGCATTATTGGAGTTCCTTCAGTGGCACACAGCTGTGATGGTGACCCATGTCTTGGTGCCTGTGCTACAGTACTGCCCAGAAACTGGTGAACAACACAGAGATGTGGTGGCACACCTTGTGTCAGAATGTTCATATGGCTATGTTACACAAATGCTGAGGTATGTTATTTGCAATTGTTTATGTTGTTTTTCCAAGAATTTTTGTTCTTGAATCTTGAATGTTCTCCATTTAATATTCATTAATAATTTGAGGACTTGCAATTATACTCTACTTAATATAGTGGAACATATGCAGTACAGTACTGTACAGTATATGAAAGTTCCTGTAGTGATGACACCGAGAATTATTATGTTAAATTATAAGTCAAACTTTTATTCTTTTGCTGTAACCACAGTTGGTCTAAACAAAGTTATATTTTGTTAGTTAACTTTTGGTGAGGCCAGAATCATTAATTGTTGCATTAATATTAATTTTGGTAATCCTGGAGCAGATGACTAACACCAGAATGTGTTGTTCGATTTCATTCATTTTTTCCAGATATTCTTTGGATGATTGTAAGTAATAAAAACAATATGACAATGCACTGAACCTGACCTAACCAATCTAAGAAACTTACCTAATCTTACCTAACTTCCTAGCCGAGGGGTGAAGCCCATCATGGCCTAAGATTATCTGTGCTCTGTTTTGGCACTTACATGCTAAAATCATATCTGTCGTAAACGATACACTTTTTATCTTTCCCAGTGCCATCGCTATGAGAGTGTCAATACGTGATGATGATGTGCAGATTTTTCAACTGTTATGTGACCATGCTGATCAACAGTCCACTGCAACACACAAAGCAGCCCTAGCTTTCTTAAAAAAGACTGCAGACAAATACAAAACTTATGTCAAATTTGGCCAGTGTCTATTATTTGTAGTCAAGAAAATGGGCCAATACATTGAGGACCATGAGAGCCTCCAGTTAATTGTCAACAATCATTCTTCAAGCTTAAAAAAAGCTATAGAGGTACAAATGAAAAAAGCTAAGAAGAGTCGATAATCTTACGTAATGTATTCAGTGTTGATAATAAAAGCGTGTTATTTTTTTTAACTTTTTAAGCCATAAATTAATCACACAAATAACAAGTGTCCTTTCTTTTTTTACACTATATAGTGACAAATTTTATGTATATTGTACTGTATATTCTACTTCAATACTTTCTAATTAAAGCATACTGTATTACTTTGTATTATTGATTGCTTGTTACCAAGTGAAACCAATAAAAAGATGAATATGCCAGTGGGACAGTCATTAAACTATTACTAGCCAAGTTTTGTTGATGAATAATCACTTATACAAAGGCTTCAGAGTAATGAAACTTTTCACCAGGAATAAACTACCCTACAGAATTATAAGATAGGGGAGGCACCTGACTTTTTCTAGTTTTCACTTGGTATTATCATGATGACCAAGAAAATATAATTTTCAAATTTATGTTTTGCTTTGTTGGTTCATACAAAAATACAAATAAATGTATGTAAAGGAGAATATTTTCTCAGTATACTGTAATAGAGGCATGAGTGGTAATTGCTAGTATGCTATATACAGGAAACCTTTATTTTTTCTAAATTTTATATCATCAGAACTGCAGTTTGTACATCATCAATAGATCCATTGCTCACATAAATTACCTTGCATATGCAGCAAGTGCTGTGCTATACCTACTCTTAATAAACAGTATCACCTACTACTGAGCTAAATCTTATCTTAATCCTAACACTCACCATCCTCCATTTTGGCATTGGATATACAAGCAATTTGGGAGGGGCAAATGGACAATTTTCAAATATTTTGTTAAAATAATCTTCTCTAACATTCTGCACTTTACTGTCAACACTCACCGACACACATTACCTAGATCAGCCCCATGCCGAAACTGAAAAGGAGTGACGATACAAGAGGAATATACAAAATATTAAAAGATATTTTAGTACATTGTACTGTATTATATAAAAGCTTGAACACAATATATTGGTCACTGTGTATCTATTTCACACTACAGTACAATGTCCCATCATGTATTAGGTTCTAAGAAGAGATTATCAAGCTATTTAATAATTTATTCTGAAATACTTATTATATACTGTACATTTGAAAAACTAAGGTTCTTAATCATTTGAATATAAATAAAGATTTACAAAGAGCCAACTAGTAAGGTGTGTGGTTGTCAGGGCCAGGACGGCTTCTCCCCCTCAGCCAGCTCTCGTCCGTACAGAGCTGATTTGTCCCTAAGAGCAAAGGAAAAGCTAAGATTTAATCACTATTTTAAATAATATAAACAAATACAGTCTATACAGGCACTAAAATCATGCCAGCAAGATATAAAGATATAAGCTCAGCAAGATATAAAAATTTACAAAGCCAATCTTCTCGCTATCTTTCACTTCACGCATCTTTCCATTTATCTGATGTGTACTTAATACCACCAGCAATAGAAATTGGCTTTTTCATGAGTGAAAACCTCCTTTTAATGGCCAAGGGTTTCATCTCACTACCCATACAGTGTTCATTAATTCCTAAAGCCTTATGTTTGCCAATACATACAAGTATTCCCACTATATGTATGTCAGAGAAACGAAAATTTGTTTTAATAAGTTATATTGTGACACCTTTTCTCTATACAAAAACTAACATTCACTTTATCAAATAACAAAAACATTTTGACAGCATTTTGCTTTTAAGACTACAAACTTCTGTCTGTCACATGTCAAGATAGCCACCCAGGATTTGTATACAACATTTACCCGGTATGTTCGACTGCACAATGTTCATTACTTTTCCAAGTACATGTATTTATTTGTAATATTATTTTTATAGGATACAGTGGTAACCTTTGTGTGAAAAACCCACTACTTGACCCATATTTCCTGCTCTTGAACACAACCTGCAATAAAATATATAAATATATAAATATTTTCACTTAATAAATGAATTTCCAGTAACTCTACCCCTTAGTACTGTATTTATTAAGGGATACCTGTGTGTGAATGTACACAGTAACTTAAACCTGGAAACATTATTAATTACAAGTACTAAACATGAAATTGTGTGTACATATCTACTGTATTGTAGAGTAGATCACATTTACATGTCTCCAACTCCTGCTGAATATTATCTGTAATTAAGTTTATTTGATCAATGTTATCACATAAGAATAATGTATAACAAATAGTTACCTGAACATCGATTGTCTTTCGGTTTCCATTCTGTCAAAATATGTTCCCACTAAGAAGCCTGCCAGTGGTACCATCAGCATTTTGAAGAAGCGAGAATCAATCTTCACATGTGCAAAGAAGGTCATCTTGGTGCTGAAAAAATTACCAACTTAGTATGTTTCACTTTTTTTATTCTATAATTCAAAAGTTAAAAAAAAATGGGCATGTTTTGTTATTTGAACAGATTTCACTTTGTGCTTAGCAAATGGTGTCCAGGACAGTTATTTCATGGACTTAATGCTGGTACATGTGTGAAAGGTAACATTCACATTACTATACATATATGTACGTATATAAATTCTATGTCTAGGATAAGTTACATGAACTATTAAATCATTACAACAATAAAGAATCCTCTCCAGGGCATGTTGGATCAAGTTTCAAAGTACTGTACTGTAATTTCACAAAAGGGTAAAGGATTTATTGTACAGTACTTTTAAGTTAGTTCTTTGAAACCATAGAAAATAACTAAAACAATCAAAACCTATTAAAATAATGTATTACTTCATTTAATCATTATCAGGGAGGCAAATATGTCATGGCAATCATGGTTAAATAGCCTGTTGCTCTGTTTGAACACATAATGTACAGTAACTCTACATTTATTGGACATCATCATCATTATTATTGGTTTACATCCATTTTCCACAAACCTGACCTAACCTAACAGGCCACGTCCTTACCTAACTAAAAACAAAATTGATTTGCCCCAAAGAGAAATGTCAAAATCATCTAAAGCAGCAAGAAAACTAGCGAAAACATATATTATTCATATGGAAAAAGGTGATGGGTGGTTAACAAAATATGACAAAAAGGTGATGGGTGGTTAACACAATATGACAAAAACAGGTAATAATTTAGGATAGGTCAGGTTCTCTTAAAGTTTGACTGGTATTTTTTTTATTATTTAACCCTACATTTTCCCTCATCTTCAAAGCCCTGTCCAATATCCAAATCATTGTCGTATCTCCATAAATATACTGTATACACATCAGCGACGAAAATAAAGGCCATATTCTTTTGGCAGTGGATATTTTGCTGTGACCGGCGAAGTTCCTACTAATGCTATTTTACCCTGAGCGCAATCTGACTGGCTAATCAAATCAAAACGACAATGCACAGAACATATTAGAACATTACCTCACCTAACTTCTTAACCTGTGACGCTTTGTTCGCCTGTAACGAACGATTAGCCAATCAGTGCACACTCTCAGTAAAATAGTGTTAGTAGGAACTTAGCCGGTCACACAAAAATATCCAAGGCGTATTTTTTAAATCACCCTATGTAGTAAAATATATGAATAACCTATTTTAGTTATTAATTTTCCCTTATGGTCACTAACTAATCTTTATTTCAACAGCTAAGGTCTTGAAGTGCCCATAAAGGTTAGTAAACAGCAACCACAGAATTCCGGAAATTCACTACACTCAATCGATAGAACTATATTTTCTATAATCATTTTCTTATACCTGTATTACATTAGGTTAGGTTAGGTTAGGTAAGGTAAGGTAAGGTAAGGTAAGGTAAGGTAAGGTAAGGTAAGGTAAGGTAAGGTAAGGTTAGGTTAGGTTAGGTAAGGTAAGGTAAGGTAAGGTTAGGTTAGGTTAGGTTAGGTTAGGTTAGGTTAGGTAAGGTTAGGCGAAACATTTTTTTTTATCAGATTTTTCGGTTGTAGTAATCTGCAATTTTACCAGTAATTACAATGTATCATTAAGAATTATAAAATGATACAGAACTCCTTATACTGTACAGTAATCTCAGTATCCGGTCACCACACTTCACTTATGTTAACAATTAAGCCGGAGCAACACTGCCTTAAATTACACCTTACCTGAGTTCCAAATAGGATCAATTACCAGACAATCAACACCTACATGTTCTTTCAGTTCCGTAAGTAAATTATGACGAAAGCTCCTGTAATCTTGCGGCGGCTTTTTCAGTCTTCCACCTGCGAGTATTCCACAAATCTGCACCTATAGTTGTTATCGTGAACAAAGGGAATAAAATTACAACTTTGTTCCTCCTTAGAAATCCCAAAACAGATGATTTAGGTGCCATTTGGGGACAAAATTCTGATCACAACGAAAATCAGCTGAACCCCGTATACTTACACAAGGACGGCTGATGCGGTCAATATGGCGACAAGCAAGGAAGGTATAGTGAAGGAACAATATCTCTTACTTTGTTTTACGGCTTTCGAATAGCTCGCCATCTAGTGACCAGTGCCGGCTATCATTCTAACAAAGAAAACGATATTTTCTATCTCTTTTAATGGATAACTATAATTTCTCGCATCCAGTGGCGAAGCGTTTATAACGTAGAAAACGATATTGTGTCAATGGCTTCCTGCTCCAGTGCTTATCAAGTCTGGTCTTGAAACAGCTCACACCCGGCGCCGTCACAACATTCTCTCACTCCAAAAAAGTTCGCCCTCACAGTTTTCTGGACTTGCGGCTTCTTTGACATTGAGCTGTGATCCCTTAAGGGGCGGGCATCCTCCAGCTCCAGCTATGGACACTCGACTGAGTGTTCATACACCTTAGCCCCTCCCCCCGTTGCCCGTTTGTAGTATAAGCTAGGCAGTTGCAGGCGCTCTAATTTCTCTGGATAACTGGGGTGCCGAAGTGCAGGCACCAGTCCCTGTTCCTCCTCGACTCTTCCATCCTCTGCTTCAAGCCCTGCAGGAGCTTCCTGTGCCGTTCCCTCTGCATTAACTTGCAATCTGGGTTTATGAATATATTCTGAAATGCATCGTTCCTTGCTAAGTTTTATTCCTACCAAATAACTTTCCATTTCTTATCCTCACTCACTAGTGTGGTCATGAGGGGGTGAGGTTTGTCCTCCTGCTTTTGTCCCAACCTCCTCACATCCTAAGGGGGGGGGGGGGAGGGCTGACATTTCAGAGCCTCTGTACAAATATTCTCAAACTGCAACTTATCGTGTGTTTTCCTAATCTCAGCTTCCTCCGACTGGCTCACAGGGACTCCAAACACTATTATGTTGTCCCTGCGCTCGAAACATTCCCGTTGATCCCCCTCTTCCCTATCAGTAGGTCTGCTAGTTACCATCTCTTCAACATACTTCTGCGGAGTCCCTAGCTGCTGAATGAGCTGTTCAGATCCTGCATTACTCTCCGTCACCTTCTGTGGCCCTGCTAAGGCCTGAGCATAACTCTTCTTCACTACTCCCTCCGTTCTATCAGCTACTTCCCTAGTCTTAGCGAGGATTTCTTTCCCAACTTGCTCTAGTTTGGCAACCAGCAAGGATCCAGCTTCATCCATTTTCGTCCCTAAGTTTCTCATTCCCTTATGATGATCTGCAATAGCCACGTTTACTTTGGATTATGCAGTCAGGGCAGTACTGGCAACATCCTTTTTGCTTTACCGCATTCTGCAACGTACTAAACGTTGAAGTGGACAGACCCACACAATCCGTCCTAGACGTCTTCCCCTTGCAGTAATTACATGTCAGCAAACTAGTTGGTGACCCTGAGGTTTTAACCCCTGGTTTTCCATGTTTATGCATGTCCTGTCACAAACTGTCTTCTTCCTATTACGTACTTACAACTGTGGGACACGCAGTGCTTGACAGCTGTTGCCGTTGTCAATCCTGAGAGGGGAGGAGGGATGTCCAGACTCTATAAGAATCTTTTTAGTCTTAAGCCCAGTTAACCTCAGACCTGAAATAACGACTTGAATGTCTTAGGTCACAACGAGAAGATATCCTAATCAGTATCAAGGATTTACCTGTGTTTCCTCCTCTGACGACTTAGCGGGTAATACAAAGAGCTGTTCCATGGAGGACTTCTGGCCATAGACTCAAAAAAACTTGCTGAGTTTCGTAAACATTGAATGTGTGATACTTGACTTAGGATATCATTGGGATGAGTCATTTTTCATACGAGTATTATATATATATATATATATATATATATATATATATATATATATATATATATATATATATATATATATATATATATATATATATAGAGAGAGAGAGAGAGAGAGAGAGAGAGAGAGAGAGAGAGAGAGAGAGAGAGAGAGAGAGAGAGAGAGAGAGAGAGAGTTATGTTAAGAGGGAGGTTGTCCCCATATTCACTAATGGGCCAGCGTCAAAAGGCCTCCACTTAGCATATTACACAGACCCCCCCCTCCCTCCCCACCTGTGATTACCAGATAAGCCCTCCCATCCTGGCTCTGAATGGCGCCTCAATATTGAAAACTGACAAATTTCTAGTAAATGCTTCTGGTTGTGGGATGATGAATGATCACTGTGAATTATGTGTTGTGTGAAATGTTTAATCGGTGAAATCGTGTGTATCTGTGTTAACGTCTGTTTACATTATAAAGCTCGTGTGTTTTAGAAATAATTGGTAAATAGAGATGATTTTAATGGATGTTTTTGTATGGGTATTTATGGGTATTTGAATTGATATTTTGTGTAGGTGTTATCAGGTAGGTAAACTATTATGTAGAATTTGAATTAATAACTCCGATATTACTTTATCTTAGCTGAGGTTAGGTTAGGTTTAGCTAGATTTGGTTAGGTTTGATTTGGTTTGCTTAGGTTAGGTTATCTTAGGTGTGGTTAGGTTTGGTTTGGATAGGTTAGGTTTAGTCTGGGTAGGCTTGGATGGATTAGGTTAGAATGATCTAATATATGTCTTTGGTTACGACCTAAACAAAACAAAGCAAACAAACAAAACAAAACAAATCCAAACAAAACGAAGACAAACAAAACAAAAAACAAAGAACAGAAAAGGATCAACACAATTAAGGGAAAGAGTCAGTTGCGTTAACCTGGGGCGATGATCCGTAAAAAGCACGGGATATTTATAGCTGTTTATCCACACACACACACGCACACACAGACACACACACACATGCACACACAGACACACACACACACACACACACACACACACACACACACACACACACACACACGCACACATACACGCACACACACACACACACACACGTTAACACAGATCGACAGATAAACTTACAAAAACAGACAGACAGACAGACAGACAGACACTGCCCGTCATATGAAACTGAAGGTAAAATAATGAGTAATCGATCATTAACTTGATACTTGATAATTGATACGTGAGGTCAGGCCGTCTGGATTATGTGAACTCTAACGCCATCCTCTGATCAGCCAATGAATGACGCTATATGAATACCTACGTCTTCTCCTTATTAACCAATCAATGTCGCTAGGGACATCTATGTTATCCCCCTTATCAGCCAATCAATGACTGAAGGAATATCAACTTTATCCCATATTCAGCCAATCACGGACGCCAAGAGTATACCTACGTCATCCCATGGTCAGCCAATCAAGGATGCCAAGTGCCCTGCCAGTCGAGTGATTTATGAGTCCTGGTTTTTTGAGTCGCAACAGATTGCAGGTGCGGGGTGCAGGTGGAGTTCTCAATAGCACATGTGTGTGTGTGTGTGTGTGAGCAACTTACTGGTGTAATTCGTGACCTTTAGCCAAGCCCCAGAGTCACCTACCGGACAACTCACCTACTGCACTGGAACACGGTCTGCTTATAGATTAACAAACTGCTGGGTAGACAGAGGCACATAAAGTGATGTACACACACACACACACACACACACACACACACACACACACACACACATACATACATAAAGATTTATACAAATCAGTTATCATTATTATGTAACCACGCGTATACAGATTACAGTGTTTGTATACCTACACTGTATATTACATTTTTTGTATTTTACCGAATATGTATGTATGTATGTATGTATGTATGTATGTATGTATGTATGTATGTATGTATGTATGTAATATATATGTATGTATGTATGTATGTATGTATGTATGTATGTATGAATGTATGTATGTATGTAATGTATGTATGTATGTAATCTATGTATGCTTTTACAGAGTATCACTTCAATGGCGAAATATTAAGAGGATAAGAATGATCTTTTCGGGGATATAATCTTACAATGTTGCCAGACGAACGCCGCCATGTGGTGCCTGGGCGGAGTGAGTCAAAGTTCTGTCTCGTTATTTTCTTCTTTGATCTTCCTCAGCTCCTCAACGAAAACTTTCATTCAACAAAATTTCACCAAACATAAAACACATTTGATTTATATCTGTCGTTTCTATTTTGTGTGATACGGTGTTTATATAATGTGATTTTTTATTTATTTTTTGCATAATTTACATAATCTACAAATTTAGCATTATGTTCTTTGTTGATGAATGCTGTACCGTATTTGTTGATGATTGCTGTGCTGTATTTGTTGATGATTGCTGTACTGTATTAGTAGATGAATGCTGTACTGTACTCCAAGCTAATACATTAAACACAGCATACGTGTTATTTTTTATATATTTTTATTTGCACTTAATTTTGGCTAAAGACCGACATAGGCAATGTGTCTGCACCCATTTTGGTTCACTTTACCTCGTGGGAAAACATAAAACTCTAGGGCAACGCCGGGTACCTTAGCTTGTACCACAGTAGTGAGGAAAGGTGTTATGTTAAATACCATCAATATTGTCACTGTAACCCTGTATGACTGTAACACTGTAACCCTGTATGACTGTAACACTGTAATCCTGTATGACTGTAACACTGTAACCCTGTATGACTGTAACACTGTAACCCTGTATGACTGTAACACTGTAACCCTGTATGACTGTAACACTGTAACCCTGTATGACTGTAACACTGTAACCCTGTATGATGGTAACACTATAACCCTGTATGACTGTAACACTGTAACCCTGTATGACTGTAACACTGTAACCCTGTATGATGGTAACACTATAACCCTGTATGACTGTAACACTGTAACCCTGTATGACTGTAACACTGTAACCCTGTATGATGGTAACACTATAACCCTGTATGACTGTAACACTGTAACCCTGTATGACTGTAACACTGTAACCCTGTATGACTGTAACTGTATGACTGTAACACTGTAACCCTGTATGACTGTAACACTGTAACCCTGTATGACTGTAACACTATAACCCTGTATGACTGTAACACTGTAACCCTGTATGACTGTAACACTGTAACCCTGTATGACTGTAACACTGTAACCCTGTATGACTGTAACACTGTAACCCTGTATGACTGTAACACTGCATAACCCTGTATGACTGTAACACTGTAACCCTGTATGACTGTAACACTGTAACCCTGTATGACACTGTAACACT